TCAAGTCCCTTAGAAAAGTGCGAACAGCAAACTGCAAGCTCAGCAAATAGATAAGAAGAGTAAAGTCAAGCCAGCTCGAATTTGGCATTTTAAAAATGTTTTTCTCCAGCTGAACTGAAACCAAAAACGCGCATTAAAGGCCTCGAAATTGAACGCAAATGAACGTGTTCGAAAGCCTCAGCGAAATGGAAGCATCGCATGCGAAATGTGAATGGCTCGAATTGAACACAGCCAGAAAATTGCGAAATACGGATGCCAAACTGCGGCCATGTATACGGGTGTGTGTGTGTGGGAGTGCGTGTGTGGATAAGGTTCAAGCCATTCGCATTTTCATTTGGCTGGACTTTATTGAAACAGGTCGACTTCCATATAGACGGAGAGGGGGGCCATAGGCATAGCCTATAATAGAAATACGGCGGCCGCGTTCCGCCAAAGCGGACAATGCCATACCCACAAAAGGATACTTGAAGTGGACAGAAATGGTTAGAAATGGATACAGCTGGTTTCAGTATCACAAATGCCAGCCAGTTGTCAGCCGGGCTGGCTAGTTGGTATCTAGGGCGTGGCATAAGCCTGAATGAGACGCAGCAGAACAAACAGAGAATGGAGAGTCACGATAGGCTTTTAATTGATCACAATGGGTGTGCTACACAGAGAGAGAGAGAGAGGGAGAGAGAAGGAGAGAGAGAGCTGAGCAACCAGTTGAATACCATGGAAACTTTTTGATTTAGATATATGAGTTTTCGTAACTAAACTGGTGGCAACTAAGAGATGAACTAACTATATTGAGTTGCTGTAGTTAAGGAAGGATTGTGAAACACAAAGAACAAAGGATTCTTATCATAATAAAGCTGCTTAATTGACAAGTTAGCTAAGCTGCTCAGATATAATAACATATAGGCAAAACTTTCCCTAATGAACTATCGATTAGAAAACTCAACTTAGTCTAAGAATCATAAGCATTAAAGTACTTTGAAGCACTGTTGAGTGAAGTCACATAAGCAACTATTCAATTTCATTCATCAATTTGATCTCAGCTCACAATATTTTGCAGCTTAGGCTGTAGTTATCAGAGCTCATAAAATACATACAGCCAGCAGCTATGACCTCTTAGCAAAATGCGTGTAAAAGTGCTAAAATAAATGCTCAATATTAGCACTTTATCTTGAAGGCTTCTTCGTTTCACAGCATTAAGCCAAACATACTTAGGCTTTAAACGCAGCTAACAACCTCGAATCACGCATATATTACTTCATCTCACTCACCTGCGATCCAAGCCACACGTCCATCAGTATTAAATATGTAGAGACTTTTGTGTATCCTTACGATGCAGGATGCGCGCAAATGAGCCCCTATTTATAGGCCACTACGGGCATCTAAAAATAAAACACTCGCAAACTTGTTTATGCCTGCATACCTGTGTGTGTTTGTGTGTGTGGCGTGTAAATAAAACAATAGCCAAATTCGACAAGTGTCTTAACAAATTTCAGTAATTGCCATTGGCCGACCAAACTCTGTTGGTTTTTATTTGTTCTTTCGCTGCTTGTTCGTTAAGGGAAAGGAGTATATGGGTTGTGCGCTTTGTTGAATGAGTTGAATATAAAATATATATAATAATAATTTTATAATAATGGAATGTTAATAAGTAAACATTTTTGTTATTTGAAGTTGAAGTCGTTAGAGTGGGAATGGGGAGAGGAGAGGGAGCCAAGAGTTGCCGCTCCTCTCCTAGAGAATTAAAATTCTAGGCATTAAAAGTTTATAGTTATATTTATGTATCTATCTATATATCTATCTATCAAAGAAAGAAAGTCACAAGTTGCTTTCGTAGCCAAGCTTAGTTGCTTCAACATTTTTGCTCGTATACATTTGTCTGACTGTAAAGACTTGAAATTCTGAATATGTACTACTTGGCAATTAGAGAATATATATAAATATCTTGATTGCTCATTGAACTAGAAATAAATTCTTTTACATGCCATTCTAAGAAGTTCCTCAATCATATATACACCTGGCAACATAATGAAGTCACCTATAGACCAGAAATTATATATAAAGACATGGAAGATAAGGATAGCTATAAGGACATAAGAATAAGTTATATCTTAGAACTAGAAAAACTAGCAAGAAAATGACTCCAGATCTCTTCTGCCATGGCAAAGGCAAAACTATCACAACTTAATAATATATTTCACTTTCTTATACCTCAACAAGTATCATGCAGTCGCTTACGCCCAACTATCAACTTTCTAAATGTTTTATTTACGTATTTTTGCCTGTCTACTTGCATTTTGTTTGATTCAGTTGCCTTTCTTGGCTGCTGACTTAATTTCATTTTGAAGCCGAATGGCATCTGGCTTTCTAACGTTCTTGAATATTTAGAAAATCTGGTTAAAGATAATTGAATTTTGTATCTATTATTTAAGATATTTTCACATAAATTTCTAGTCCAAATGCTTTATTAAAAAAGCGAGAATTTGTAGCAGTCAAACGAACATTTCATTTAATTAAACAGCATTATATAGTTTATAGAAATTTGTGCATAACTTTTTCAAAGTCAAAAGTTGAAATTATAGAAGAGAAACAAACAGGCTTTTTCGACTTTTAATAGAGGGAAAACTTGGAAAGTTTTGCTAATGACAGCCGAGCTGGGAGCACAGTCGAATATCTATGTGATAGCGTGTTTATCTATGTGTTTGTTTGTGTGTGTGTGTGTGTGTATATATTATCATGGCATATCACACACAAGCAAGGTCATGTTCACAAAAACTTTTGCACATGCGAATGTGTATGCAAAGCGAGACTGAGAAGAAAAGTGCAAAGCGTTTTGCGTCGGAAAACTCAAGGCAACTTATCCAAAGCTTTTCATACACTCACAGACACACATACACACACACGTACAGTCTGGTTGTAATCAGCTTATCACTAAGCATTCAGTCCACAGCGGACCCTAGTGTTGAGCTTTGCATTTATGCAATTACAGCGTTAAATCAGCTTAAATCAGATAGCAGACGGTCACACGAATTCAGTAGAGTCCGCGCACTGGCCATTGCATAAATTAATGTCTAATAAAAAAGAAACACTTAAAGCGTACAGAAATCAAGGTGAGCTCCAGGTTCATGCAGCTGCAAATCCTCCAAAGCCGAGTTAAGCAACGCGAGCGCCATGAAATACGAGGCAAACAATTTTTTGGCCTGAATGAAAATGTTTTTTCCCTTCAAATTTTCTCTTTCCCTTTTTTGTGAATCGCGTGCGCGCAGTTTATGAGCCGGTTATTTTGATTAATGCTTTTTCAGCGACTGCAACTGCTGCCGGCAAGGCGCAAGGCACGCAGTCAGAGGCTGAGCGGATAAATGTGTCAGGCGCTGAAGCCGGCAAAAATACGGCGGAACAATTATGTGCAATTTATAGACTAGCCTAAGATTAGCTCAGATTTAGCTCGCAGAACGAAGCAAAGGGTCAAAGATGCTTAGCTACACACAGATAAATCAAGTGACTGACGTCAACTGTTGTTGAGGCTGTTGCTATTGCTCTACTGCACAGGAAAATCTCAGCAATTGAGAGGAGCCTAAAGCTTTCAGTTGACAATCTCAATTCGATTCAAATTCTTTTTTCGCATATGATTTTACGTTTTCATTTATTAAATATTAGTTCAGTTTTGATGTCTTTGAACTTAAAACTCAACTGAGCCAGTTTTCTAGTTAGCATAAATAGAAATAGATGCAAGTGAGAGTGCTCTATACAAGTCTGCTGCCTGCCCTTAGCCTTGCTTCAACCATTACTGACTTTATATAAAGCTTGTCTACTCTACTCTTACACAACACGAAGCATCTCAAATATGTTAAATTACTAATTGATTACTTCGGTTCCAGAGCTAAACAACAGCTGTAAAAACAATCTAAATTTGAACTCACATCAACCTGTTGCTACATTATCTTTATGCATACCTTTGTATCGACTTAGCTCTTCATTCACATCAATCAACATATATATATCCACGCCTATATCTGCCTTTTGCTTACACTATCATAAATATATTCATATATTCTCTCTACTCATTTTTAAAGGACTTAAAGCGTTACTCTAAAGCTACTTTTGAATTTCGCAGAATGCTAAAAGCAAAACTTATTTCAAAATAATTCGAGTTCCACTTTATAAGCTGAAAGTAATATTCCAAGTCTAATTTAAGCGAGTTTTAATTGAAAAACAAAATCATATCGCTAGTTTCAACTGCCTCACTTACAAGCTAAACAATCAGGTGCATCTGCTTGTAACCAAACCTTATAATTAAGGCCAAGCTAAGGCGACGTGACATGATCAGTTCTGAGTTCTAGCTTAGCTACTCGTACTAAGTTGTTAGTTTCTTCGCCTATATCTCAGTTCCCTCTTCTACCTACTGCCACATTATTACACTTAGCCTTCGAGACGTCCAGCAGCTGTCGTCACATCTTTTATAACAAGACTATCGACCGTAGCTCAGGCTAAGTAACTCGCTGTATTATTTTACAGCTGCCATTTTACTTGAGCTGGCATTTTTAATTAGTTAGCTTCCTCTCGTTTCAGGCGTATGGCAAAATATTGTCAGCTAAATTGTTAATGGCTTTCTGACAAGACCCTTTTCCGGAAGCTCTCTTCATTTTTTCAAACTGTTTCAATTAAAGTCAACTGATTAAGTCCCTATTTGAGACTTTTTAACATATTTTGTTCAGTTTACTCAAAGGATTTTCACTTCGAGTGAGTCTCTCAACTAAATAATTAAATATAAAAATAAATTTGACGAAATATATAAATAAAAATTAGCTTTAATAATCATATTTGCGCATTTTTAAATAAATATTTATATTACTGAAATTACTTTTAATACGAAATAACACATTATATCAGCTTTACGAATCTGACTTGCTTCAGCAAAATATTTGTTTATCGTTAAGCTCCAAAGAATTGGCAACAAAATGAAATCAAATTTTGCACGCATAACTGAATTTCTCATGTCCTTGCAGCACACACAGAGCTCAGCGAAGTAGAGGCAGCAGCAGGGGGAGGTGAACAATATTACAAGGGAGCAACCACATAACAACAGGAAGAGAACGTGAACGTGGACAAGGACAACGCTGCGTGGCAGTGTTAGCAGGATGTCAAAATGCCATCGGCAGATCAAATCTTGTTCATAAATGTCACCACAACGGTGGCCGCGGCTGCGTTGACAGCTGCCGCAGCCGTCAACAGCACGCCAGAGGCATCCACAGCAGCAGCAGCACCCGTCACAAGCAGCGGGCGGAGTTCAGCCAACGTAGAGACAGCAGCAGCAACAGCAGCAGCAGTGGCATCCACAACAACAGCAGCGCTGGCGGCCAATCTGTCCGGTTCGCTGGTGGACAGCTTAACGACAACGGCAGCAGCAACTGCAACGGCAACTGCAACAGCAACAGCCATTGTCGAGTCAACGCATGATTGCGGCGCTCTGGCCGTAGAGGAGCTGCATGGCAGCTTCCTCGGCCTGCAGCTGGCCGTGCCCGAGTGGGAGGCGCTGCTCACAGCGCTCGTGCTCTCGATTATCATAGTGCTAACGATCATCGGCAACATTCTGGTCATACTCAGCGTCTTCACCTATAAGCCACTGCGCATAGTACAGAACTTTTTCATCGTCTCGCTGGCCGTGGCCGACTTGACGGTCGCGCTGCTCGTGCTGCCCTTCAATGTGGCCTATTCGATACTGGGGCGCTGGGAGTTCGGCATACACCTGTGCAAGCTGTGGCTCACCTGCGATGTCCTGTGCTGCACTTCGTCCATCTTGAATCTGTGCGCAATCGCACTGGATCGCTATTGGGCTATCACAGATCCCATCAACTATGCCCAGAAGCGCACCGTGGGTCGTGTGCTGCTCCTCATCTCTGGCGTCTGGCTGCTATCGCTGTTGATTAGCAGCCCGCCGCTGATTGGCTGGAATGATTGGCCCGATGAGTTCACCAGCGCCACGCCCTGTGAGCTGACCTCACAGCGTGGCTATGTCATCTACTCGTCGCTGGGCTCCTTCTTTATACCGCTGATCATCATGACCATTGTCTACATCGAGATCTTTGTGGCAACGCGACGTCGTCTGCGTGAGCGTGCCAAGGCTAACAAACTGAATACGATTGCATTGAAGAGCACCGACCTGGAGGCCATCAACGCCAGCAATGTGGCTGTGGGTGGCAGCTCGACCAGCTCCAAGGCGCGCGCTCTGGGCAGCCTCTGCGGCAGTTGGCTCTGCTGTGGCCGGGATCGAGCCAACTTTGCCACGCCCATGATACACAACGATCAGGAGAGCCTCAGCAGCGAGACGCACGTTCAACCAGAGGGCAACAATGAGCCGCAGCAACAGCAGCAGCAGCAACACGTCGTGGTGCTGGTCAAAAAGTCGCGACGCGCCAAGATCAAGGACTCCATCAAGCATGGCAAGGCACGCAGCAACCGACGCTCGCAGTCGTCGTCTTCGGCCTGTGAGCCGCACGGCGAGCAACAGTTGCTGCCACAGGCCAATAGCAACAATGCAGCAGGCAAATCGGATCCGGAAATAAGCACAGAGAGCGGCAGTGATCCCAAGGGCTGCATACAGGTGGGTTGTCCATAGAAATAATAATTTATATATTTTGTCAATGCCGATTCGCATCACATTTCAGGTGTGCGTCACACAAACTGAGGAGCAAACCTCGCTGAAGCTTACGCCCCCACAGTCCTCGACGACAGGTGCGGCTGCTGCCAGCGCACTGCAGAAGAAGCCGAGCACTGTGAACCAGTTCATCGAGGAGAAGCAGAAGATTTCGTTGTCCAAGGAGCGAAGGGCTGCCCGCACGCTGGGCATCATCATGGGCGTCTTTGTCATCTGCTGGCTGCCCTTCTTCCTCATGTATGTGATTTTGCCCTTCTGCCAGAGCTGCTGTCCCACAAACAAGTTCAAGAACTTCATCACCTGGCTGGGCTATATCAACTCCGGCCTCAATCCGGTCATCTATACGATTTTCAATTTGGACTATAGGCGCGCGTTCAAAAGACTACTGGGCATCAAGTGATATGACAGTGCGGGCCGGGCGCAGGGGCGTGGCAAGCGGGCGAGCGTCAGTCAAAGTTTGTGCCAAAAATTAATATGATTCGCTAATTTGTGGAAACACCTGACAAACACTTAACTCAAATATGGTTTCACTCATTTGTAAAAAGATCTCGAAGTTTCATTTCAACATAAAATAGGAGTTATAAATAAAATATAAACAAAAAAAAAAACAAAAAACCAATATAAAGCAATTTCTAATAGCATAAAGTTCATGTTACAACAGTTAATTCTAGTTCTAAGCGACTACAACTAATTTTCATTAAAATATTTCCATTTACAAATTTGATTTTTTGTCGGCTTGCTTCAGCTCTGAATTGGTTTGCTTCACTTTTGTCGGGTGTTTCGTGCTTTTAAAGTTAAATGTAAACTGTTAAAAATACTCATGAAACGTAACGTAAAATACAATTAACTTTTATGTGTGCAGGCGCTAATCGAAATAAATATATATTAAAAAAAAACATTCAAATTAGACAAAAAACATAAATATTATTATAACAGCTAAAATGAAAATGAAAATGCAAAAACCGAATTGAATTTAACTAAATGTTTAGGCACAAGTTTGTTGCAAAACTTTCATGTTTCACTAGTCGGCGCATAAACTTAATATATATACACTATATATATATATATAAATATTAAATATTAAACTATAAAACTTAGTTAAATTGACGCGCGCTCAATATTGATAAACTTCCAATTGTTTACTTAGGCATTAGTTGAACTATATTTATATTTAAATTTAGGTAAATGAATTTATAAAACCAAAAACCAAAAATACCTATAAAATTAACTTATTATAAATGTATTTATACTTTACGCTTATTTGTTAAATAATTTAATTATACATGAATTTATTTTCATGGCAAAGCATCAAATGTGTTGAGTGTGCAACGGCACAGCTATAAGCTTAAAATAAATTAAATTACAATTAAAAACCAAATAAAAAATAAATTTAAATTAAATGTTGCATTGTGCAATAGAGTTACCAAATATAAATATATATATAAATCGATGTATAAAACCAAAAATGAAAAAAGTAACTAAATCCATGGAAATTTTTCAATTTTGATGGTCTACGATAATTTCACTAATTAAATTCTTTAATTAGCAAATGCAAATGAACAAAAAGACAGATTCGAATAAAAGTTATAAAGTAATAAAAAACAATCCATTTCTTTATTAATTTTTTTAAAGGGAAATTCTATTGGGTGGGCATACAATTATGAGTTGAGCCTGTAATTGAATTATCGATTTCAAAGTTCTTTTCTAGCTACTTATACTAATGAAATGGGTTAAGTGCGCTTTTTACGCTGAAAATTCAAAGCTCAGGCTAGTTTAGACGCTCAAACACAAGCGAGTTGAAGAGGTTAAGCAGCAGTTGCTTATTAACAGTTTCCCTTCAATGAAACCTTTTACACTTTACTTTTTACACTAAATAAAAATGAAAGTAAAATACTCAATTCCTCTTAATATAAATAAAACGTTTGTAACGACGTACATTCAAATTCCATGACAAATAAAATATACAGTATTTATTTAGTTTTGTTTTCTCTGTCCACATACTGATAGAACCACATGTTGCACATGTTGCCAGCTGAGCAGTTTTCATAGCTAAAAACTTAACAGTGCCATGTTGCTTACCATTTGAGCTCCAACTGAATTGAGGTGCTTACACAAGCTGCTTGCTATGATAGCGCCTCAGCTGATGTTAGCAATGTAAAATGTAAATCATACATGTGCTAATAGCGCTGTTAATAATTTAACACTGTCAGCTGCTAGTATTTTTTATTTTTGGGATTTTTTACAGTGCATTTTGAGTTTCGGTTTCTGTTTACCATATTTCGGTTAGTCATATCATATATTTAGTTAAAGTTAAGTGAAAATTAAAGCCTTATTTATTTATTTCGACGCATTGCATTTAAGCAAGTTATAAAATAACGATGCAAGTAAGTTTCAAGCCACCGCAGAGCATTTATCATTGCTAATAATCATCTATTGCCGTATCTATATAAATATCTTTATGCATGTGCATTCGCTTATCTCCATATTTGGTAAAAACTAAATCGAAACGCAACGCATGAGTGCTTCTTATACATTTAGTGAATGGAAACTAAAGAAAATTGTATATGTTGCAGGATCCCAATGAAGATACCGAGTGGAATGATGTGCTGCGCGCAAAGGGAATCATTGGACCCCGCCAAAAGGAGGCAGAGATCACAGAGGATCAAATCCAGGCCATGATGAATGATGTCATTCAGCGAAGGACGGATTTGCCTCCACAAGAGGGCCAGCGGGACAAGATGATCGATGATATGTCACTGGATGAGCTGGACGAACTCGAGGACTCCGAAGACGAGGCTGTATTGGAACAATATCGACAACGTCGCATCGCCGAGATGCGGGCCTTAGCAGAGAAGGCGCGATTTGGCAGCGTGCGAGAAATCTCAGGTCAGGAGTACGTCAATGAAGTAACGAAAGCTGGCGAGGGCATCTGGGTGGTGCTGCATCTGTATGCCAATGGCGTGCCACTCTGCGCTCTCATCCACCATCACATGCAACAGCTGGCTGTTCGCTTTCCGCAGACCAAATTCCTGCGCTCCATTGCCACGACTTGCATACCCAACTTTCCCGAAAAGAACCTGCCCACCATTTTCGTATACCACGAGGGCGCAATGCGCAAACAATTTATTGGACCGCTCGAGCTGCGTGGCGAGAAGCTGACGCTCGATGAACTGGAGTTTATGCTGGGTCAAGTGGGAGCTGTGCCCACTGAAATCAAGGAAGATCCCAAGCCACAAATCAGAGACAAAATGTTGGCCGATTTGGAAGACAAAAGCTCAGAGTTCTTTTAGATCACACTCTATGCTGACGACAAAGAGCAGTCCAAGTCACAAATCAGGAATAAAATAAGCTCCGAACTCTGTTAAAAAAAACTTCATTCTACTATAAAGTCATGTGTTCATATTCAGCTATTTCATGTCTTGCATCCTTAGCCGATCTTCGTGCATTTGTTAACATAATAAAGAGTTACCATTTTTGCTACCAGACCTTCACTTGTGCGACTTCACAATGCTCGTCGAGGACTTGGCCAGGCCCTTCGGTTTGCTGCGAAAGATGTTCGGATCGAGTATGTTGTAAGGATGCTCGCAGGCGGGATAAATTATGCGTCCGCGTCGCAGTTCCTGCTTCTCCAGCAGATGTGGCGCTAGCAGCAGGAACAGCTGCTCCGTCCACGAGGGCAAGCCAAAGCTGGAGAAGCACAGCTCCCAGTAGGGCAAGCCCAAATGCGCAATGGCCATGCGCAAGTACTCGCTGAACGTCTCGGCCAAAAACTGCCAGCTCAGCGTGCTCAGCTCCAGCAAATAGAACTTGGGATTGTTCGAGCTGGTCGAATCATACAGCATGCAAACCTGAAGAGAATCATTGCTATAGAGTTGACGATTCAATTGGTAGACCAATTCTCACCTTGGCCATTTCGTTGATATTGTTAATTTCGAATATTTTGGTCTTGGCTGTTATGATGGGCGTGGGATTATCCCACTTATCCTTGGGCATTGGTGCGGTCGCTGTCGCTCCGTTGCCACCACTAGCAACCGGAGTGTTCTCGATGTTCTCACGCAGCAACGTCACCTGCAGCAGGTGCGGAAAGTGTATATAGCCGACACGGCGCACGTCGGTAGCTATTTGATAGAGATTTGTAGTTCGCCTGAAAACATGAAAAATCCCTCGACTTACGTGCATATTGATAGCTCCAATGCAGCACAAAGCCATCGGTGGATAGGTAAAACTTTTTCATATCCTCCGGCAGGTAGACACAGTGCCTTTGCTCCCAGTTGACCAGCTGGCAGGGATTCAACGGCTGGCGACGGTCCAAGGTCACATGGCAGACGCGTGGCACATAGGCTACAATTATTTAACTAGAGTTCTGGCCGTGCCACATCCAATTTCACTACTCACACAGAGTTTTCATAAGGCCTAGAGTTAGACTCTCGTAGAAGGCATCTTCCTGTGTGCCTGTGAGTTTCTTATTCATTTCGATTCTCTTATATAAAAGTACTTCAAATAAACATTGGGGACAGCAAACAATGACTGCCTGGCCCTGGTTACGCTGGCAACGGAGTCGTGTTTGAATGGTTTCTATGGCAGATTGTGATTAAAGCTCTGCATGGATATCTTTAAAACGCAACTAAGTGTGTTTTAAATTTAATTTTTACATTAAATACTGTTTTGTTTAAAGTAGATATATCAATCAAACAGTGGCTCTTAATGTCCAGTAAATTGACGCTATGAAATTTGGTCGAAATATATCAATAAACACTAAAATACTTAATCATAAATTTGAAGGACAACAAGCACACTTCAAGATTCTGATTACAATATCGTAGGATGTTACGATTTTCTATACTATAGTTTCTTTGTGAAAGGTAATTAGTGAATCATAAATAAATATATAATAAAAAACTAAAACTTTTGAACTTAAAGATATTTAAAAATTGAGTAAAAAATGTAAAACAAAATTTATTTTAATTAATTTATTTATCAGCTAATTTTTTTTGTTTTAAAGGGAAGCAGCTGAAGAAGAATATAAATATATAGATATATTTTGTTTTATATAAGAGATATTTCTTTTTGAACAGAGTTCATACCTGCAATAAATATATAAGCGATATTTGATCATTTAAATAAATATACTAATGTTCTTTTCTTGGCTTTTTGTATTCATTTTCTCCTAAAAAATATATAAATAATTAATAAATTAATTTATATATATTTTTATATTTTTTCAGCTATTACCAAAAAAATATATGATAAATATTTAAGAAATAAAATGCTCGAAACTTTATAATTAATATGATTGCAATTTATTTATATATAGTACATTGACAACAATTTATATACAGAAAAAAAACGCAAAAACATATCAACAGATCTAAATGAGGTTCGACTTTGGAAATGTGAAGATGTGAAGTTGTAAAGGAACTTAGACATAAAATAAAGAGAGAGTTGGTTTGCGTTGGTATTGAAGAGCCAAGAGATATCAAGTCATATGTCGGTTCGCTCAACTCTTAGCTTGCGTTGGGGTCTCGCACTCGGCTTCCTCTTCATGTCAGGAAACCTCCCACACTGTGGACTCCACCGAACGACGCGGACGTGCAGCAACCTCGACATGCGCGTCTAGTCCGTCGCTCAGGCGGCTGAAGCGACGCGCCCAGCTGCCGCGCGCTGTTGACTGGCTGCCAGCTATAGAGGGGCGTTGAGTGCTATCGCGGAACAGACTCATGATGTCTTGATTGTCGCCCTGGGCACGCTTGATGCCGTGCTGGTATTTGGCCTCTTTGGCAAGCAGCTGCTCGCGCTGCATTTGGGTCTTCACCTCTGACGGGACATCAGGTATGATGAACTGCATTATGCCAGTTAGCACGAAGACCACGTGCTGTTGTGGAATAGAAAAGTCGAACTTAGCATGATGTGCTTCAGACCATAATTTGATTAATTTACCTCAAACACCACGACAAAGGCCAAGCGTGCGGCAAACACATGCCAATAGTGCGGACTCAGTCCATAAGGTTCATAGTCCTTTGGCCCGTTGCTGTCAAAGGATGTCAGCCGTTTATAGAGTATGTCTAGAAGCTTCTGAATAGCTCACTTACCGATAGCCTCTGTACTGGCAGGTGTCCGGGTCGCGTTCGCTGCTCGTGGCGCCCCATTCCTCCTTGTAGTCGGACGTATTGAATATGGACAGCGAGTGCTCTATGTAGCCAGCCAGCGTATGGGACTCCGAGTAGACGAACTTATAGACGACGCGCGGTATAAAGTCACTTGTGTAGGCGATCACAAAGGCGTTCGAGACGACAGCTGTGTAGGTGATTATGCGCAAGATACCATACCAGGCACCAATGTCCTCTACGCGCTCAGCCAAGGGTCGTCTGGCCTGGGTGACCATCTTGTAGGCATCCAAACGTATCTCGGCCACATTGTTGAGGAGTGCAAAAAGCGGCGCCAAAGGAAATGCGGCCACGAACAGTGTGACAAAGCCATATTGCAGTACTACAATAGAGGTCAGGTTTTCAAGCTTAAGTAGTCTATGAATAATCATAACTTACTCATTTCTAGATACTCATCGAAGAGTGCCAAGCGACCTGGATCCTGCATATGATAGTCCTGCTCCCAGGCCATATGCAAGTGCGATTCGTCTTTTGTGGCCTGCAAGCAAGTAGGAACTGAGCTGCTTCTATATCACTAAAATTCAACAAAAATTTACTTGTTTGTGCTTGCGCTGACGCCACCAATTCCAGAATTTGGGAAACAAGTACTCCATAAAGTTGTTCCAGCACTGTTTACCCACCATAATGATAGCCTTTGGGTAAATATTATGAAATTGAAATAAAAAATTCGTAGACTTTTACCCCATATAAAAACTTACCAATTGTATGCAAAGTTCGGAGAGGCAGCCCGCCGGATCGCAGATATCATTTTTGAGGCGAAAGAATTCGCTGCGTCGCGCCTGATCGTCGCCGGGATAGTCAAAGAAGCGTCCTTTGAAGAAGGCTATATAGATGAGCGACGAGTAGAAGTTCATGAACTCAAAGAAGAATATCTTAAAGGTATATGAGTCCTCATATTCGGTGTGAGTGCGTGGATTCTCCAGATTTGTCAACTTGATGGCCATGCGGTGGTAGATCTAAACAATATAAATGAATATATTTTAATAAAATTCATAGCCTTGGCAGCTATACCTACGCGCGTTAGTATCATGATGACCACCAAATTGATTAGAGCAGCTGTCACAGTGGTAAATAGCTTGGCGTGCTCCTTTACAAAGAAGCCGCCGCCACCATAGATGACCGAGACCAAGGATATGCGATAGATGATGGTACCCAGCACGGCAGACAGCACCACCGAGATCTGTAGACGATGAAACTTAATAAGAGCCTCATATAACACTATCCCATGCTAATTACCATAAAGAGCACAGCACTGCCGGTGATGACGAAGCGTATAGCACGACTCCATGTGGACATGTAGGGCTCCTTTTCGCGTGTCACCGGATTCATACGGAATGTGGTTGCATTGGTCTCAAACTCGGGTCGGTTCTCCTCATCCATTTCCACATTATGAAGATCCCATTCCCAGACCAAAACCGATTGCTTGCGTTTCCAAAGCTCCAGAAATGTAGTTGCTGTGAGTCAAATTATATGAGTCATTAGACAAGATTTGAAATAGTTGTGTTTGTGGGCTTATTGCCTACCCCAAAAAGACATGAAGATGGCGAAAAATACCGTCGAGGGATTGTCAAAGAGGTAAGTCAGCCGCGAGAATAGGCACGATTCGGATAGTCTTTGATAGCTGCAGGCCTTATCGCAGAGCGGGCAGAGCGTTATGTTCCCTGTGCCGTACTCGTTGCAGATCTCCTTGCTGGGCGTGTTATCCTCCGATTCGAGTGTGGCCAGTCCGTAAATGAAGCATAGAGTACCCACTACAGACGGATAGACGAGCATTTCCGTATAGAAACCAAGCCAACTGAAGTAGAGAGCGATTTTGTCCCCGAAGTATTTGCGCACCAGGCACAGCGGTTGCTTCTTGTACCACTGCGATGGATGTGCCCAGGTCTGGTACAGCACGCGCCGATCAAGCGATATACCACTCGAGTGCGGCCGATCATAGCGACCTTCGTGCAAGGGAAAGCAGCCCAAGTAGGTGCCATCATTGAGCAGGCGCCTGATGCCATTGCGATCGCCATCGTCGTACGGTGTGCGAATCAGCACCTGCATAACCATCAGCGAGCGTTGGGCACTCGTATAGGCCGTGGCACGATCCTTCACAATGAACCTTTCGCAAACAAAATACGAATAAGCTTAAAAGACAATGCAAAGTTTGGCTGACCTACTGCTCCTCGGGATTGCCATTGGCCGTGGCTGCTTTGAACGTTGTCTCGCCTTCCAGCAGACTATTATCAAGCTGTATCTTTTTGGTTAGGCGCTGCCAAACATCCTTCCAGTACTGCACATTGCGCATGACCACATTCTCCTCATCCTAATCGTGGGTTGCACTGTTAGGAATATTCACTAAGTAGGTCAATTGCCAACTTACCCAAGATGGCTTGACGGATATGGTTATAAAACGTTTGATGGGCAACTTTAGGTTCATGACCTCGGCCAGGCGCGTCTCCAGACGCCAAGGCAGATGAATCTTGAGGAAAAAGGTTTTCTCATTGAACGATTGGGATTTGTCCTCCAGCTCCACTTCGAGTCCCTCTTTTACGAGATTGTCCATAAAGCTGCGCCTGATATCACGGCGTCGCGCCTCCGCCTCCGTCATTACGCCCAGATCCTCCTCTTCCCAGGCCAAGACCATGTCCACCTTTCGTCGCCCATCGCGAAACATCAGCGATTCCGGATCGAGACCCTCTCGATCCTGCTTGCTCACACGTCGCTCCTCGCTATCGCCCGTGAGACTGTTGCTCTTGCTGGCCTTGCGACTGCTCAGGTAGCTGCCGGTCACGCTGCTCTCCCCGGTGGATGTCTTGCGCTCAGCTGGCATCAATTGCTTATAGCCGAACTGATCGGGCAGCACATTCGAGTGCGAGGACTCTACAATTTCATAGGACTCCTTGACACCGTTGTCGACTTGACTAGCCCTCCGTCCACCCAGAGTGGGGCTGAGATTCAAGCCCAGAGTGCGACGCATTGCAGTGCCAGGTATATCCTCATCGTGGCTACCCACGACACGCGGCCCAAACGCCTGTGTGGGACTCGGCTCCGCCGACTCTGTCTCCAGATGTGTTGGCAATGGCATTGCAATGGAATTGACTTTCTGATAGAACGAGCCATTGCTGCCGCGCATCATCGACGAGTTGAGCCATTTCTCTGTGTACGCGGCCGAGCTGGTCTTGTTGTTGGAGCTCAGCTCCAAGCTGGGCTTTGGCGTAATGGGATTGCCCACAGACATTGGACTTTGGCTCACCGTTTGCCGCTCGCTTTCTAGAAAGTTGTAAATGTTATCGGCAGAGACGTTGGGCTCTATGGGTGGCGACTGCAGGTCCAATTCAATCAAAGGACTCTCCTGTCGATACAGAGAAGCGTAAAACTCAGATAACGGTGGCTTGGTATATGAAATACTTACGGCATAGCCAACTAAACGGCCAGCCACTATGCCGCTGTCCTGGCTGAGTCTTCTGGGTCGCAGCTTGATCTGGTTGCTGCGTATCATGCGTTCGCTCTTCGCCGGGCTCGAGACAACTTGACGCCGCGAAGTGCTCAACGAACTGTGCTGCGAGTTGCGTAGTGTGGGCACCGAAAGGAATCCTGTAGATTGAAAACATAAGAAAACGAAAAGTTTTATCGAAATCGTTAAATATTTTAATAGCCACCCACTTGGAAATTGAAATGCTGTCTGTTCGATTGCTGCTATCTCGCTCTCACGCGCCGCACTGTCAATCAGATCCTCACGTGAATTGGCCTCCGTTATGGGCGCCGTGCTCTCATCGTCCACGCTGTCGATACGTATTTGAAATATATTCGATTTGCGGCCCACATTGTCCGTCAGCTTTGCATGATTGCTCATGTTTTTCCAAACTTGTCAATCGCAACGTCACAAGACTCTGGAAAATCGTAAGTTGTACAGCTCGGCATTGGGTCAAGAAGAAGTTTTTAGTTTTTAGTATTTAGTGCTTTATTATTTTTGTTAAGTGAATTTGACCTACAATGACAACGCTCGAGGCTTTGCTGCATGTGCTCCTATTCCCACAATTAAATATGCATTCATATTTATAAGTTCGATGAAAATCGAAAGACAACTAATAACACTCGAACGCAAATAGGCCAGCAATACGTCTGTGCATAACAAAAACAAATTTGAAAGTTTGTTTCATAGCCTAATTGAGGCTGTTTAAACTATGTCTTAATTGAGCTCATGGCAAGTCAGAATTTTAGCTAAGAATCTGGCGATCTATAGCAACGAGATCAAACATTCTGCATGCCCCTTTCAAAGTCTCTAAATTTGCCATAAAGAATTTTAAAATATTTTTCTGCTATTTCATTTTGATTTATTTAACTAAATAATTAAGTTAAATAAAATCAACATTTAACTTTGCTCTAATATTCTGCTGTCATTTAACGATTTTAGTCATGGCTTACACACCCCCACACACACAGACACACACATGAGTGTGTGTATATTATGCTCCCCAAGGAGCACTTATTTCTGACATTAGCATCGCCTGGAAAAGCAAACAAACAAGCAAACAAATTATATGTCTAATTAAATATATGTGTTTAAAGGTAGTAAAAATTTATGAGGATAGAGTTTTGAATGTCAAAGGTTCCATTTTCATGCAGAAGAGACTTGAGCACTTATAAATTCATAATGAAACGCTTGAAGCTCTGCCAATCAACCTTTCCGATACAATTGATTGTTTATAAATTGAATTAACGGACTTGATATATACAGGTGTATATATATTCGAAAAACTAGAATGTCTATCGTTATGCATACACATATATAAGCGCCATTATTGGCGTCATGAGCGAAAGCCCAACTTCAATTCGTAGTACTCGAGGCCAAAGCCATAACAACTTTTTCTATGTATACGCAAAGGCACACATTTATGGGGCACATCAGTATATAAATATATATATATATTTCTATATGTGTGTAATAGATAATGCACATTAGAGAGACAGCTCCACTTGGGTCGATAAATGTTGAATAAATAAACTTGTTGCTGAACTAAATTGGCGGCTAGTTGTTGATTGTCACTAGGCGAATGTCAAATATGTGTAATTTATTTATTTTCAATTAACTGGCTTGTGAAACGAATCTGAACTGGACTTAAAACCGTCCACTCCCACTTCGATTGACACACTTCGATCAAGCCTGCCCCAAAAAGGGGCACACAAATAAATGGAGCTACATATCGTAGCGTAGCACGCCTATGACTTGCCAGATGCGTCAATATTAGTGGTAAGTAGCTAGTTGCCTGGCTTGTCAGTTGTGCAAAGTCTCATGCCGTTGTTGTAATCACGACAATTGAAGGTTTATTGATTCGACATTCTCATTCTTCAAGCTCTATATATTAATAATCGATTATTGATTTCAAGTTACAACTATTCAAATGCCACTCAACAAATTCTAATCAAAAATTTCAGCACTTTCTATGACAACTGAAACTATTTGTGCTTATCCGATTGTATTTTTTTTTTGTTTTTATATTTTTATTCCATACTTTTAACTCTTGTTATTGGTTCTGAAAATTTCAATTGTTAATGTATTTTCTATTGACTTAAAATGTTTGTCTTGCTCCTTGTTTTTGCTTTTTAATATCTTTTTTTAAGCATTGCACTCGCTCGCGTGTCCTATATTAGTTATTAACACATTTCGTTTCGCATAATGGACACGGCGAGCGATTTCGACCGATTTGTTAAAGCACTCGCGCACGAATGACCAAAGAACTGACACAAACCACTGACCACAAGCCAAGGACTATAGAAGTAAGCTTTGCAACTGTCGCCTGGCCCAACCACCGCAGCGAGTATCTGCGACGACCAATGCTAGATAATCAAAGTAGTTCAGTTTTTCATGTGTTGCTCTCTCTCACCCACGCCGAATCGAGCTCGCCACGTTTCTGGCTTAATGGTTAATTGACATAGTTGCCTACAATTTGACATTTCGACTATTCTAATTCCTGTTGTTGCTGTTGTTGTTATATGAATTAATAAAAGATTATGTTCTATTTGATTGGCCAACGAATTACCACAGGGAATTTTGAACTCATGAACCTGGCGGCGATTGCATTGCAGCCCCAGCCCCTTGGGGTCCTTCTCAAGGGGTTCACAGTGTTAAACAAGGACCTCACTATTAATTGCCATTACATACGGGTAACGTAAAAACTATAAAAATAGACTTTCAACGTGAAAAAAAAAGAATGAACGTGTATATATGCCGCTATTATTACACGGCGGCACATCTATTTTGAGCCACTGTGGATACCTGCGTCAGACAGGCGGCCAAGTGCGTCGTTTACCACCTTTAAGACAAGGCGATGCGTGATATGTGATATTTGTTATTAGCAGCTATAGTTCTAGTTGTGACGAAAGTCGTTATTATTTAAATTCACTGCACACAAGTCGAATAGATTGCATGAAGAAATGATTGCTTCGACATTTGATCGACTTCCTGATTGACTGGCTGACTAATTGATGGTAAATGCATTGCGGGAATACCCTATATGCACTTGCACTTGTGCTGAAGGCAGAGTCAGACTTGCTCTGCCCTGCGTTCTTCTCGTTAAACAACAATTCAATTTGGATGCGAGTCAGGTATGTGGTGCGAAAATACTTCATAAGCATTTCTTCTTAAGCTAGAGACCGCTCTGCGCTTTTCTATGCGAGTCTCATTAGTTAAGACTTTATGTTTACTGTCTCTTGCACACTTCTGTAAGCCCAGATTTTCTATCTTCTGCGCTATATTTTAAGTATAATAATTTTCTCTGCGATTCTCATACATAAAAATGCTTTGAGCATGGGGGTTATATTCCAATACTTGAGTTGATCGGCTCATTAGCGTTATCTCACTTCATGCTGTCTTAATATACTCACTCTACTCTTCCTTACCCTCTCTCGCTCTCTCTCTCCGTCTTCACCTCCATCTCGAACACCTTCAGCTTAATAATCCATTGATAACTTTATTTAACCCAACACCATAAATATAATCATAACGAACTTCTTGCATACAAGGCTAACTAGAAGCAGCTTCTCGTGGCGCTCTAACCCTGTTCACTCTTCGCCCTTAACCAATTCGTTAGAATTGTTGTTGCATTGCTGAAGAACGTCTGTTTCGCAGGAGTTTGTAGCTTTGCTAAAGAACTGGCCCGCCTCGCACTCAGCCTCAATCTTCTGGCCATGCAAGCACACAAAGTATCCACGACAATTGTTAGTATCTCGGGCGAGTTGGCCATGTTTGCCGCTGCAGACGCCCACGCGCTCGCCATTCTCCATGAGGCAGGTGCCATCGTTCTGCCGGCAAATGCCCAGCAGGCTGTCGAAGCTCTCTCCATTGCGGCAGCGCTGCGAAACGGGTTCGTCCTCATCGCAGCTGATGTAGCGCCGGCAGTCGCCGGGCTCGGCAATGGAGGCGCCCTCGTCGATCACCTCGCAGAGATTGGCAAAGTCAGCGGGTGCATCGCTGCAGTTCTTTGGCAACTGCACCTCGTGTAGGTCCAGTTCCATGACATCTGACTTCAGCTCCTGTACGTCCGGCACATCCTCATCAATGGCCAGCTCGTAGGACTGGCACTGTTTCAGTGTGGCATTGAAAAAGTAACCCGAATAACAGCGCTCACCGCGCAGCTTGTTCGAGATGCAGATATAAAAATTGTTACAATTGGCAAAGTCTGGCAAGAGGTAACCGTTTTTGCCCTCACACAGCACTGGATTTGGTTTCGGCTTCTGATCGTTGCCAATTGTTGAATTCGTTAAATTCTGAGTGCTCCCATTGATGACATACGGACAAGAGCCATCATCTTGGGTGCACAGCAGCTGCTCAGCATTGAAATAAGTGCCGTTGCCGCAGCGTTGCATAAGTGCCACGCCGCCAGCACAGATATAGTACCGAGTGCAGTCCTTATAGTCGGCCACATAGCTGCCATCCTGCAGATGCTCACAGCTGAGGAGGGCGCTGTCGTTGCCCGCTTTGCCCAGTTGGCCACGCTGGCACTCGGAACTCAGTTCAGGCTCGCAGCGTGACAGGCTGGCATTGTAGACCTTGTTGGCCTCGCACTCAGCCGGAATAGGAAGTCCGTGCACGCAGGCGTAATACTGATTGCAGTAGAGCTGATGGGGCAGTCGCGTGCCATGAGCCACTTTCTTGCAGAGCCCCTGCGAGGCCGACAGCGATTTCTGCTGACACTGACCCTGATCCAGTTGGCACTGCGCCAGCATTTTGTTAAAGTACTGACCCTTCGGACAGTACTGCAACTGTGATACATTCTGACTGCTGCTGGTGTTCAGGTTATAGCTAAAGCTGGAGCAGTTGTAATATGCCTGACAATCGGTCGCATGCGCTACCAAAGTTCCGATTGTATTATTGGAGCACATGGAGTCGGCTTGCTTACAGCTGCCATCGTTGGGTCGACAATAGCCCAGCAGTGCATCAAAGAAGCTGCCCGCACCGCAGCTTTGGGGCAGAGCAGGTTTCTCCTGCAGGCATAGATAAAAACGCGTGCAATCTGCTGCATCCGCAACGCTCTGTCCGTCGGGCTGGCCCAGGCAACTGCTTGTGGGCAGCACCTGCAGCTTTGCTTCAGCTGAAGCCTGACATTTTTCCAGACTCTGACACTTGTTTAGCTGCCGCGAGAAGCTGTTGTCGCGCAAGCAGCTGCTCAGATGCCACTCATCCGCATTGCAGTAGTAAAAGAACTGGGTGCAGTTGGCATCGGGCAGTGACACAGCTCGCAGCTCGCCCTGCCGGCAGGAACGTCTCAAGCCGCTGCCCTGGCAATTGCCATCATTACGCATGCAGCCTAGCTGTGGCTCGAACTCCTCCAATTTACCGCACGTCCTGCTCCGCCACTGACCATTGACGCACTGTTCGTATGAGCGGCAGCTGGTGGCCGAGGCGCGCTGCTGTCCATTCACACAGGCCGTGGCATTAAGTCCATTCACATCGAGACGACACTGATTGGCATCGTTGGGCAGGCAATAGTTGATCTCGCGACTGAAGTACATGCCGAGCGGACACTGCTGTATCCACCAGACATTCTCCATACACATCAGGAACTTGTCACAGGCCGTAGAATACGGACGCACTGTCAAGTGCTGGCAGCCTGCCGTTTGCTGGCCCTCGCTACGATTCAGCCAGCTGCAGAAATCATCGCCCTCGAACTCAGGCATGGGCAGACAGGTGTTCAACTGCGCCGCATAGTAATGGCGCCTGGGACAGCTGCGCAGGCGCCACTTGCCCGCCGCGCAGCGGAAATATTGCAGGCAGCTGCCTTTGCCAGCTCTGCTCGGAATAGTCTCCGACTCGCTGCTCGTATCGCAAGCCGGCAAGCCCAACACTCTGGCATAGCTGCAGACCATGTCATCCCGTGGCTCCAGACAACGCTGTTGCTCCGGATTGTAGTACCGCTCCTCGGAGCAGCTGCGTCTACGCCAATTGCCATCCAGACAAATCTCATATTGCGAACAATTTGCAGGCACCGAACGCTTTGTGTTTGTTTCGCAGATCAACTGCAATGAATGGGGGAAAAGTAAAGTAATATGAGAAAAATATGACTTCATAAGAGTTAAGTAATGAAATCTAGCTTAAGTTCAATTACTAAGAAATGTAAGTGTGCTGAAGTACTTATTAAAGGGTCTTAAGGAAACCCGATATGCCATCGGCTGCACTCGACTGCATTGTTCTACTACTATGAACTCGACTACTTGTTCATGGACCAATGAGTCTTAAAGTGGGTTGACCTTATATTGTATAGGTAAAAACCGAGTCAACAGTGGCCTACCTGCAAAACTTGATGATCCTAGCACTCAGACTGTGGTAGGATCCCTCAATAGTGAGTGTTGAGCGCTGCCCTACCCCTTTCGCTAAACTCTGGTAAATCAAATCTTGATATAATAAAAATTTCAAATATCAAGTCACTAGCCAAAGCATTCAATTGCCAACAAATCGGAATACATTGTAAGCCTCTAGTCGATGTTAAAGTCTCTAGTCTTAAGAGATTTAATATGAACAGACGGACGCCTGCACAGCAAAGACGGACATTGCACAAAACGAATTTACTCATTTCAATGAACAATATAGAAAACCGAAATAAAAGTTCAGTTTGCGTAAATAAACATAAATTAGTTTGTATATATGTATATATTTGGATAGGTATAATTTTGGTTCAAGCGGAATTTCTCATAATATATAGTAACTCATAAATAACAAAGGTAATTATATAAGTAGGTAATTTAGGACATCGTCTAAGCTCTATAAGTCATTCAAGTCATTGGCGGGCGGTCACGTTCGGTTATGCTTATGTAAGCTTCTGGAAGAGTTTCTTAAAGAATGATAGGGATCTTACTTTTTCCTCCGGCTCCACGGATCTCTTATGCATGGCATGTTCCTTGGCCATGCACATGCCCAGTTCGCTATCAAACAGTGTTCCAGCACTACAGGTGTGATATGTTACAATCCCGACATTTGCGTCACACATACAAAAGCCTTCAGACATATCCTTGGCCGCGAACGCCTCGTACTGTGCCCGATTAATGCAGTCCCGTGGATCACAGGCTGCCACAGTGGAGGTCAATTCATGCACACAGACGCCCAGCTTCTCATCGAAAACATGTCCAGCGGTGCACTGATAATAGGTAGGCGTAGTGTTGCAGGCGCAGAAGCCTCTGGTTGTATTGCGGGCAGCGAATGCATCGTACTTGACGCGCGATCTGCACTGGGCCGGATCACAAGCATCGACCACACAGAAGTTGAGAATCTGATCAAAAATATGATATTGTCCACAGCTCTGATAGGTGGCGACACCAGATGCTTCGCATACGCAGAAACCATTGATGGTATCCTTGGCTGCAAAGTTGCTGTAAGCCGTGCGGCTTTTGCACTGTGCGGAATCACAGGCCATATCCATATTGGCTGCAGATTCTGTATCCAGACAGATATCTAGCATGGAATCGTATTCCTTGCCCTCGGGACAGTCTTCATAAACGGCGATTCCCTCAATACACAGGCAAAAACCGGTCGTCGTGTTTAAAGCAGCGAAATTTGTGTTGGTTGACGCTGCTGAACATCCCTTGGGGTTACAGACGCTGCTAGGTGCCTGTCAAAGCATATATATATATATAAATATATATATATATATACAGGTATATACTCATTTAGAACTCACCTCTCGTATAAGGCAAAGGCCGACAGTGGCATCATAATACTTTGCTTTTGGACAGTTCATATAGTATGCTTCGCCATTCTGACAAACGCAGAAGCTTGTATCATCCGCTTCATTCGATGAGGCAAATGTGTCATCCTCTTCCAGGCACGAACACTTGTCGCTGTCACAGTATGGGCTTAGAACGCCCTATTGCGAAAGAGCCAACATGCGTAAGTGAAACTAATTGACTCTGCTGTGAATTGAATGACTTACCTCAACGTCCATGCAGGCTCCGACTACAGTATCAAACTCCTTTCCTTCGGGACACAGTCTGTAATAGGGGAAGCCACTAACACAATAGCAGAAGCCTTCAGTTCCATTGAGTGCCGGATACGGCTCATTATTTTCAAGGGCGTCGCACTGGGTCTCGTCACAGACAGCCGGTCCCTACACAATTACAAAAGAAATGAATTCAGATGCATTGTAATTAGACTCAATCAAATGCTTACCGCTGTCTCCAGGCAAATTAGTAAGTCTGTATCGAATTCCTTGCCATCTGGACACGTCGAATAAACACCGCAAGATTCCTTGCAGTAGCAGAAGCCGCCTGTATTACAGTTGGCTGGATAAATTGTGTATTCAACCTCTTCCGCACAAATTGTTGAATCACAATCGTTGACAGGGCAAATGAAATTTGGCTAAAACACATATATATTAGGGATATTATTTTAAGAAGACGCTGCGTGTAAGCCACTTACGACTGGGTACATGCAAATTCCTAAAGATGCATCATAGGTTTTACCAATTGGGCAGACATCAAACGAGGCCACCTCATCCGTACACACACAGAAGCCAGTGTCCGAACCTGTTGCTGAGAATGTCACACCATCTGGCTTACCACTGCAGTAGCTTGAGCAGCATCTAGGCTATAATTGTAGGGTTAAATTAAGTTGAGCTTATATATATATGAATTGTTGGTTACATCTGCCAGCTGCGCGAGTATACACTTGAGTTCAACGGCATCAAAGGTATAGCCAATGGGACAAGGAACTGGTATGGGCTGATTGACACGGCACAGACAGAAACTATCCGGATCATCATAGTTGACAGAGACAGTGTAGTCCTCGGCGTTATTGCAATCTCGAGGATCGCAGGGTCCCGTCTATAATGTGTTTTTTTTATTAAATCAAAGATCTTTAAGTCTGCTAATTTTCCAATTGTTAACTCACGAAAAGGCATCCACCATCCGTCGCGTCAAATGTGGTGCCCGAATCGCAGTTCTTCAAGTAGGCACCATCAGCCTCGCACAGACAGAATGTGCTGTTATCAGATGTTAGGGATGGATAGACCTGGTTCACAGTCGTCTTCTTGCACTGCGTTTGATCACAGGAGCTCTGCAAGCAATGACAATTATAGTTTATATCTGTTTCTGTACGATTCCACTTACACTCGGAACGGGCAGACAAATTCCGAAAGTGGAGTCAAAGGCTGAATTCGCTGGGCAGGAACGAATAAGAGCGAAATTATCGATGCACGTATAGAATCTGGTATTATCGCTGGCATCTGGGAACACAGCTCCATCCACAGCTGTGTTGCAGTTGTTCGCATTACAAGTCACAGAGGCGGAGCAATTGCCAGTCTTTGTGTTAAAGCCTTCGCCCTTAGGACAATCAATCACCAGCGGCACTCCAGCGGTACATTCGAAGTATTTGGAGCAAATGGGATGTGCTACATTGCCGTCCTCAGTGCCGCAGGGATTAATGCACTGTCCAGTGACATCGATGATGCAGCTGCTACCATCAAAACGTTCGCCATTTCCGCAGCTACTTGGCACGGCCAATCCATCGTTGCAGGTAAAATAGGAAGTGCAGCAAGTATCGGGCATTAGGTAACCATTAGGCTTGTTGCTACATATCCAGCATTTGGCATCGGTATCTGGCACACAGGCGCCCACGCTGTTGCTGAATATATTGCCGCGACCGCAGGTGCCCTCGATCAGTTCACCATTCTGGCATAGCACATACATATCGCATTCGGTTGTCGAGGCCTGCATGGCACCTTCGGCCAAGCCATTGCATGAGGCGGAACGTTTGCTGCGCGAGTTCGGCTGCAGCCATTTGTTCTCGGGGCACTGATTGTTGTCATCCCGGCGACAAATGCCCACGGAGTCATCGAAGAAGAACCCACCAGTACAGGACTCCTTAATCCATTTGCCATTGATGCACGCTAAGTAATTCCAACAGTTCTCAGCCGCAACGGCTGGAGAAAAGTCCTTGCACTCTCCACCTACTACAATAGGCATAATTCTTTCAGTGCTGATCACATTGTCCGAGTCAGAGTTGCATTGTGGACACACGTTGTCGGTATCTATAACGCAAATAAGAGCTGTCTTATCAAAGTAAGATCCGATTGCACAGGTCTTCGGCTGCCAGCTTCCATTCACGCACGCATTATACTCATTGCAATTCTGCTCATTGGCAGAAAGCTCATCGCCATTGCATTCTGAGCTTGAATTTCCGGAGCAGCACACGTTATTGCTGTCTACCACACAGATGTTCAAGCTGTCATCATAGTAGTTTCCTTGCCCACAATCAGCAGACACGAGTTCACCACTCTGGCACTTGAAATACAGGCGGCAATTTGCTGGATCGAGTACTGTCTCTCCATCTTTAGTGCCATCAGCGCAATCCTGTTCTGTTGAAGGACTATCTGTTGAGCATTGAGGACACACGTTGTCGACATCAATAGCACAGGACATAAGAGTGGTATCAAAGTAGGATCCTATCAAACATGTCTCTGATTGCCAGGTACCATTTTGACAAATGTTATACTTATTGCAGTTGTCCTTATCGGCAGAAATATCTCCGTTGGAGCAGCCTGAAGTTGAGCACACATTATTGCTGTCTACCACACAGATGTTCAGGCTGTCATCGTAGTAGTTTCCTAGTCCGCAATCAGCTGAGACGAGTTCACCACTCTGGCACTTGAAATACAGGCGGCAATTTGCTGGATCGACAACTGTCTCGCCATCTTTAGTTCCATCAGCGCAATCCTGGGCTGTTGAAGGACTATCTGTTGAGCATTGAGGACACACGTTGTCGACATCAATAGCACAGGACATAAGAGTGGTATCAAAGTAGGATCCTATCAAACATGTCTCTGATTGCCAGGTACCATTTTGACAAATGTTATACTTATTGCAGTTGTCCTTATCGGCAGTAACATCTCCGTTGGAGCAGCCTGAAGTTGAGCAGCAGTTATTGCTGTCAACCACACAAATGTTCAGGCTGTCATCGTAGTAGTTTCCTAGTCCGCAATCAGCTGAGACGAGTTCACCACTCTGGCACTTAAAGTAAAGGCGGCAATTTTCCGGATCGAGAACAGTTTCTCCATCTTTAGTGCCATCAGCGCAATCCTGGGCTGTTGAAGGACTATCTGTTGAGCATTGAGGACACACGTTGTCGACATCAATAGCACAGGACATAAGAGTGGTATCAAAGTAGGATCCTATCAAACATGTCTCTGATTGCCAGGTACCATTTTGACAAATGTTATACTTATTGCAGTTGTCCTTATCGGCAGTAACATCTCCGTTGGAGCAGCCTGAAGTTGAGCAGCAGTTATTGCTGTCTACCACACAAATGTTCAGGCTGTCATCATAGTAGTTTCCTAGTCCGCAATCAGCTGAGACGAGTTCGCCACTTTGGCACTTAAAGTAAAGGCGGCAATTTTCCGGATCGAGAACAGTTTCTCCATCTTTAGTGCCATCAGCGCAATCCTGGCCTGTTGAGCATTGTGGGCATACGTTGTCGACATCCACAACACACGACAGAAGTGTCGAATTAAAGTAGAATCCACTCTCACATGTCTTTGATACCCAGCAGCCATCTTGGCAAACATTATACTTATAGCAGTAGTCGTCATTGACTGACACATCACCGTCGACACATGTAGTTCCTGGAGTAGTTGTGTCGTCGGGGCATGTACCGGGTATGCAGTGCAGGCCGGTTCCACTGAAGTAGCTACCAGTTGGACACAGCTGACGGGTTGCCTTTTGCTGGAAGCATATGTAAAAGACGGTGCAGTCATCGTTATCAGCCACCATTGAGCCATCGGGTACGCCGATGCAGAAGTTCTCCCAGCAGTTGGAGTTGTCGTCATCATTGACGCACTTCAACAAGCTTGAGTCATAGTAAAAGCCACTGGGACAGTTCTTGACTGTGGTGACCTTATCCTGGCAGACGTAGTAGCTGGCACAGGATGTGTTGCTTGGCAATGACACACCATTTTCTTTCGTCAAGCATGCGTTTTGCCAGCACTCCGACACTGGATCTGGAACGCAAGTATTGTTCGTGATGTTAAAGTAGCTGCCAGCATCACAGGTCTGCGCATATGCCAGCTGCTCATCACAGATGTAGAACTCAGAGCAGTAACCAGACTTTGGCAAGTACGCGCCATTGACTTCACTTGCACAAATGTTCGAGATCTAAAAGAAAACGAGAATTAAGTAAATGAGAAGTGGCAAATCGGATTGGTTAACTTACGCCTGCTAGAGGTGCAGATAGGCTCAGTTTGCATAGACCGCGTCTAGCGGCCGAGCATTTGCCTGTTTTCGGATTGTACTCCTTGCCAGTGGGGCATTTCATGGAGCGCACCACATTCTTGTTAGAACAGCGGTAATAGCCGGAGCAGCTGGTAGGATTTGGCCAATGTGGTGCCAGGCCACGGAGCTTGCGGTAAACGCATTCAGGATCGGCGGCACCGACTATAGATGCCACTGCGGTCAACGTAACCACAGCAAGCAGAGTAACTGTTGGGAAAAAACAAGTTTAAATAAGTCTATTAATTGATGTCCTTTGGCTGACCTTTCATTTCTATTCACTGATATTCCACGACTATTGCTATGATTGTACTCCGCACAATTACCAAAATTTCATAGCCTTTATATACATATTAAGATATCGCAGTTAACATTGATTTCTGCTTATCAGCATCGTTTGATCGATCAGTGCGTACTTATCAGTATTTGTAGTTTGTGTTCAACATGCGCCCATCAAGTATTTTTTAATTGAGTTCAAGACTTTTGGCATGAATTCCGGGAAGACAACAAATCTAATGTCACACAGTCTGCTCAGCCACACCCCAAGTGTCGATGCGTCGATTCTTAATTGGTTATGAATGAAGTTCATAATGATACAATGAAATGATAATACTTCTCCACCCAAAATAGTAAAAACATTGTTAAGAATAATTAAAGCTTAAAGCTCTATAGTTCTTTGCACACTTTTCATAGTTTATTGCGTATTCAAATTCAAGCGCAAGCAGCTTCACAAGTTTTAGTCCTGGAGTCCCAGTAGAGATTGGATGGACAGTCTTTTATATAGCCGCGATCACCATCGCAATGCACAAACTTGTGACAATTGTAGGGATATGGTAGAAACTCGATTCCTGGATGATTCATGCACATTGCGTCGGTATCCACGGCAGGCGTCGTTGTTGATATGGAAATTGTAGTTCCTGTGGACTCATTCTGCTCGGATGTCGATGTTGGGTCTTCGCTTGTTATCAACGTTGTCCGTCCGGACGTTTCTTGTGTGGAAGTTTCTAGATTTTCAGTGGTTGTAACACCCGATGGACTGGGTGGCAACTCTGTCGATGTACCTTGTGTAGAAGTTTCTGTATCTCCAGTGGGAGCTATAGACGTTTCTTGTGTTGAACTATTTGGATCTCCGGTTGGTGTAACTTCTGTCGTTGTCTGCGGCAAGCCTGTAGATGAACTATTTGGATCTACAGTAGGTGTTGAGTCCGTTGAATTTGGGGGTATCTCTGTAGAAGGTTCTAGTGTTGAACTGTTAGGATCTTCACTAGACGTTACTTGACTTGAGCTGTTAGAATCTCCAGTTGGTGTTACCTCCGTCGTTGTGTGCGGCAACCCTGTAGGTGAGCTATTTGGATCTTCAGTGGGTGTTGAGCCCGTTGGATTTGGTGGTAACTCTGTAGATGGTTCTTGTGTTGAACTATTTGGATCTCCACTGGGAGTTATGTCGCTTGTTGTCTGCGGCAATCCTGTAGACGGTTCCTGTGTTGAACTATTTGGATCTTCAGTGGGTATTGAGCCCGTTGGATTTGGTGGTAAATCTGAAGTCGGTTCTTGTGTTGAACTATTAGGATTTTCAGTGGGGGTTACGCCTGTTGGATTTGGTGGTAGCTCACTAGACGTTCCTTGACTTGAACTGTTAGGATCTCCAGTTGGTGTTACCTCCGTCGTTGTCTGCGGCAACCCTGTAGGTGAGCTATTTGGATCTTCAGTGGGTGTTGAGCCCGTTGGATTTGGTGGTAACTCTGTAGATGGATCTTGTGTTGAGCTATTAGGATTTTCAGTGGGGGTTACGCCTGTTGGATTTGGTGGTAGCTCACTCGACGTTCCTTGACTTGAACTGTTAACATCTCCTGTGGGTGTTACTTCAGTAGTTGTGTGAGGCGACTCTGTAGACGTTCCTTGACTTGAGCTATTGGGATCTCCTGTGGGTGTTACTTCAGTCGTTGTCGGCCACGCCGTAGACGTTTCATGTGTTGAATTATTGGGATCCTCAGTAGGACTTTGTGGCGACTCTGAAGTTGTGCCTGGATCACGAGTTGGTCTGATCTCGGATGTTGTCTGTGTCGAACCAGTGGGTGAAGCACTAGTTGGCTCCTCAGTTGGTTCATCATCAGTTGGTGTTGGTTGAGTGGTAGTCGATTGAGTGGAGGTCGGTTTAGCGCAAGGCGGTGCAACTGTTATCGGAGCTGGAGTAGGTCTTACACAACTTGCAGCATTCAGTGTGTTTATCAGTAGCAGCAACTGCAAGGATATTAATACACAGGAGACCACTGAAATGAATAGAAATGTTCCTTAATGTGAGCTTGGACTATATCAATTGCGCAAGTTCCACTATTTAGAAAACTTACATCTCATTTTGTTCCGGAATCAAGTGTTAATCAATACTAGAGCAGCTGCGAGGTATTCACTTGATATTTATAACACTTGGAAATGCAACTATGTGTGTTATTGCTCTATCAGTGTCTAATTAGTCTATAACAATGCACTTAACCAATTATCTTATCTCAATTTGTTGATTTGCATACGCTTACATTAGCAATCAGAAATTGACATTATTGTTGCCCTTAATCAATGGAAGAAAGTAAACAAAGAGAAGAATTCTGGAAAATTGTTGACAAAAGTAAAATGTTTAACGATTTGATAATTAAATGTTATGTATTTTTTAAAATTGTATAAAAGAGATTTGTATTTGTAAACTGCCTCAAAGTATGCAACGTAATTGATAGTGTATGAAATCGGAGTAGCTTGTAGTAGTATATATGCTACTATTAGTTGAAATTGGTAGTAGAATTGGCATTAGTCTCACATGCAAGTAAGTGGGCATATATATAATCTGTCTCCATGAATATATATTCATATATACACTCAAATATATTCTTCGGCATATGTTAATTAGTGAGACTTAAGTGACCTGAGGCTTTGGATTTGATAAGTCTATATAAGAACAAAATAGAATAGACCCAGCATACAACCTCTACAAACATTTTATTTTTGTTTTTTAATTTATTTAGATTATTCTCTCCTGCAAATATTATCCAAATATTAAAAAAGTAAGAAATATGTCACTAACTGAACTAAATTAATCATCTTCTTTTCGTTAATAAATGTAATTACAACATTAAACAAATACTAAGCTCGCTTATCGAGTTCCGTTTATTGAGGGCCTTAAATGAAGTGCAAATCAATTGATTATAGGAAAATCGACCATATATAAAGTCTAATAGTTTTGCAAAAATCCAGTCGAAGCTACACGAACTGGCAGAGCGCACAGAGCAGCAAAGAGTACAAAATGAAAGGTTAGTTCAACTATTCAACTATTTTCATCAACATGAAACACAGAAGACTTTGTCTCAATGCCCCTTAACTAGTGGCAATTATTGGAATACTACTTATCCAAGTGATAGCCGTGTATGCGCAGCCCATTGATGACTATGCCACAATAGGAACATCAACTATCATACCGGAAGTCAGCGAGCCACAAACTTCTTCAACAGCAAATGCAGAGAATTCCTCAACAACTGCAGAAGCTGAAGTAACTGAGACACAAAACTCTTCAGCAACAAATGCAGAAAGTGTGCCAACAACAATTGAACCTTCTACAGAAGAAACGGAAGCAACAGAAGAAACTGAAGAAACAGAGACAACTGTGCCACCAACTTCTACAACAGAAGATGCAGAAACCACTGTCGAACCACCCGTATTATGTGATGAGGGAGTCGCATTTCTGCCAGCGCCTCAGTGCAATGATTACTACATGTGTCTATATGGTGTAGGCATCTTGAAGTCATGTCCAGACGGTCTCTACTGGGATCCCAGATGGAATATTTGCAATTGGGATTCCTCACGTTGCGACAATGGATTGCCAGAATCAAATTGCTCAGATGGTGTTGAATTTCTACCCGTCGAGTCAGATTGCACCCAATACATTCAGTGTGTTCACAATAGTCCAATACAAATGACATGTCCAGGCTATCTATTCTGGAACCAACCACTTCAAAGATGTGACTACAAATGTGAATTTTAGAAACTTGCTAAATGAAATTTTAATTTGTTAATGTTATTATTTAATAATGTGAAAAAGTGAATCATTCACTAAGCGTGTTAAAAGCAATAAATTTATTGAAATTGTTAAGTTGTATAGCCTTTTGTGTGATATCAAAGTTGACATAGATATAATGCAATAGCTCTTGACTGTGAAGACTATCTCAGACCTTAACAATGGAAAACAGTAAAGTGCAACAACTTACAGATAACACTGGGCTTCACATTAATATAGATAACAGTGGGTAACTTATGGAACATGTAACACATGGCGAGAAGCGTATCAATAGTAAAGATAATATAGAGGTGTATATGTCTATATGTTTATATGTCTATATGCCTAGATGATGTCTATATGATGTCTATATGGAGTCTATATGAAATCTTTATGATGTCAATATAATGACTATATGATCTCTATATGATGTCTATATGATACTTATATGAACTCTATATGAAGTCTAAATGACATTTATATGAGGTCTGTATGATATCTATATAATGTCTATATGATGTCTATATGACATCTATATGATGTCTATATGAAGTCTATATGATTTCTATATGATATCTATATGATGTCTTTATGACATCTATATGTTGTCTATACGAAGTCTATATGATGTATATATGACATCTATATGATGTCTATATGATTTCTATATGAAGTCTATATGATGTCTATATGACATCTATATGATGTTTATATGTTGTCTATATGATGTCTTCATGATGTCTATATGATGTCAACATAATGTCTATATGATGTCTATATGATGTCTATATGATCTCTATATGATGTCTATATGATGTCTATATGACATCTATATAAAGTCTATATGATGTCTATATGATATCTATATGAAGTCTATATGATGTTTATATGATGTCTATATGATGTCTATATGATGTCTATATGATATCTATATGATGTCTATATGACATCTATATAAAGTCTATATGATGTCTATATGATATCTATATGAAGTCTATATGATGTCTATATGACGTCTATATGATGTTTATATGATGTCTATATGATGTCTATATGATGTCAACATAATATCTATATGATGTCTATAATGACATCTATATGATGTCTATATGACATCTATGTGATGTCTATAAGAAGTCTATATGATATATATGTGATGTGTATATGATGTCTATTTATCTGCATATCTGTATTTTCTTTATTTATATGCAAATTACGCTGAAATTATTTATTTTTCCGCCGCTATCTATCCTCTCCAGTTAAATGTGAACTATGCAGTTGGTGCTGCTTAAAAATAACCTATTTGTTTATCTGAAACTCTCTAATAATAATACTTGCTATGCTTTGTATGACAATCGTCAGTTCTTCTTTGTTTATAAATGAAAGTCTAGCCAAAAAAGAAATCAATTAGCTAAGATTATGGGAAGTACCAAGTGGTTAGCGCAGAAGAAAGAAACAAAGTACAAAGAAACAAAGTACATAACATAGGTTTATGCCATATCTTAACAAAGCAATTATCAATGTTTCAGAGAACAAAATTTGTAATTAAAAGATGATTTTGCTTCTGTATTTTGGGTATAAAAGTCAACGGATTTCAGCCTGCAAAGTCAGACCAATTTTTTGTGTAAGCGGAGTAAATATGAAAACTTTCAGTAAGTAAAGTAAAGTGAGCAAATATAAAGAAAACATTTCAATTCTCGTTCTTACAGTTGTCGTGTTGTTGCTTGCTGGCGCAATCAGAGCTCAAAATCTGAGAGACGTAAGAGAATGGTTTGGATTTATAGAACGACAATTAAAGCAGTTAAATATTCAATTTTCAGCAATGTAGGGGCATTCAGTATGACTTGTTGCCGCACCCGGATACCAACGAAAAATTCATTGTATGCGCCTATGAAGTAGCCGAAGTGCGTACCTGCGATAAGGAAGAGCAAGAACAAAAGTGCTTCGATCCCATCCAGAAGGCCTGCAGTGTGGCTTCTTGCACAGCAACCAAGCCCGCCGACGAGGATATTGCCAAAGAGATTTGCAAGAGCATGGGCCAATCAGAGAGAATACCATCGGTGGACTGCAACCATTTCTGGATCTGTTTAGCCCACATGGAACCCGTCTATGTCACCTGTCCCCAGGGCAAACACTTCTCGCGCTCCGAACAGGAGTGCATTTCGCCAGCGCTGGCCAAGTGCCAGGCCCCAGAGAAGCTCTGCACCTCCAATCTAAGCAGCTACGCAGCTGAAAACTGTAATGAATTTTACGGATGCACCGACAACAAGCTGGTCAAGCGCAGCTGCGCATACGGCGAGGCCTACAGCGCAGTGGCTGGCTCCTGCGTAAAGGATATAAACAATAGCTGTAGAATCTATACCAAGCCGGACTGCGAAAACCCAGCCAATGCCAATGCCTATTTCGCTCACAGCGACTGCTCCAGGTTCTACATTTGCGTACTCAATCAGGTCTATGAGGGCAAGTGCGCCGATGGCTACGGATTTGACAGCGTCAGCTCCAATTGCAAGTACGGCATCTGTTAGAGCAACAACTTAATAAAAACACACGCATAAATTTGAATCGCTTTATTTGAAATGAACTTCAATTCGTCTTGGTTAAACACATATTTTGTCGCAGGTGAGCAGCTGGGAGTTCCAATACAAGTAGGGCGGGCAAGTCTTTACGAAGGGCATATAGTCGCACTGAATGAAACGCGTGCAGTCTCCGGGATAGGGTACAAAGGTGCCCAGCTGACCTTTACACAGCCCATTGAGATCTCCCTCGTTGCGACTTGAAGGCTTTAAACAGTTATTCAGCTCATTGACATCACATCGTTGCAATTGGGCATTCCAATAGGAATTGATTGGACAAGTCAGCGTTTGTGTCTGGTAGTAGCGATTGCAGTCCCCTGGGTAGGGTCTATAAGTAATGCCATCTGCTAAGATGCCATAAAATATTTCTGCTGAGCAGAGGTTAATGCAGACAGCGAATGCACAGATTTTCCAAGCTTGCAATAACACTGTGAATAGAAATTTAAAGTTGAAGAATTGGTTTGAATGTAAAATGTACTCACTTGTCTCTAGTGGAAAATGCGAGCTCTGCTGCTCTACTGCACGGCTTTATATAACATTTAAAGGTCAACAATACAAAAATCAACAAAAATATCTAAATCAAATATAGATTAAATGGCTTAAGTGCATAGCCAGAGCTTGACCGGTTAAGTGGCTTTGGCTTAACTGCAAATATGTGAACATAAATGTTAAAGAAAAGCATATATTATAATAGCACTCGACGAAAGAATTTATTTAGATCCGAAGTAGTTAATACAGATAAGAAATCATATAAAAGGACGGATGTCAGCATAAAGATCATTGAGTGCTTGCTACTGGGCTCGGCTGATACGAACATTAGTAAGTGTTTCTATATCGAAAACTGAACACAAAGTCAGTTATTTCTATCTTTCAAGACGATGAAATTTACGGTCTTCATTTGCCTGCTTGGGGTTGCCGTTGCAGCTGCCAGCTTTGGTAATGTTGGTATTGGTTTGGTAAGTCGCATCGATCCGATTGTAAGTTAAATATTCAACAATTTTATCTACAGCCCATCCAAGTGGAGCCGCCCGTTGAAATGAACCAGTGTCCAGTCTATGATGATCCCAATCACATTGTCATGTTCCCCTATCCCAACGACTGCCGCAAGTACTACGCCTGCGTGAATGGCATGGCCTATGCACATCAGTGTCCCGACAATCTCTACTGGAGCCAGCTGACGTATCGCTGCGACTACAGGCAGTATGCCACTTGCGATAATTTGCCATATCCGGATCAGACGCAGTACAGCGCATATCCAGGAGATTGTGGACGTTACTATGAGACGCGTATTCTTAGCTGCCCCAACAATTATTACTGGAACGATCAGTATAAGCGCTGCGACCTGCCAAAATTGTCGGGTTGTCGAGCATATGGAACGGCACCGCCGCCACTTAACACCCAAATTCCTTTTGAACCAACAGCTGCAACGCCGCCAGCCGTGCCCAAGCCATCCATTCAGCCAGAGTACACTGCACCCATCGATCCGGAAAGCCTATGCAAAGCCTCAGCTAGCCAAATGGCATATCTCGCATATCCCGGAGATTGTCACAAGTTCATTAACTGTGGTCCAACAGCTTCGGTGCTCACATGTCCCATCGGCTTATACTGGAATCGCAGCACCCAGTCTTGTGGCTCATCCCAAATTGATTGTCAGCCGTACGACCTTTCAAATGCTTTATATCTATACAATGCAGAACAGGCTTGAATATCTTTGATTGATTTACATATATAAGAGGTTGATTGACGAATGACAAAATGTGAAGGGAATTTATCATAAATTCTTAACAAGAAAAATTCAATAAAAACTACTTTTTATGCAATGAAATAGAACGTTTTTATCTTTAGCTGAATTGCAAGCTGAATGGTATCATTAAATTGAAGATAAATATATTTATTGTTATTAGTTGAACTCTTCTTATAAATAGAAATATTATTGTAGTAATATATGATAGGAAAATATCCTTGAATACAGAATTTCAAGATATATATGATATATATATAAAAGTCCTGATATGATATTTGAACATTCTTACATAAAACAAGAATTCAGCACATCCAGAGTCTAAAGTTAAGGAATAGTGTAAAACGAGGTTACGACATGGAGATGTCCAGCCTCGTCAGATGACTTAATTCCATTTTCGAAGTCTTTCCTTGCAATTTCATTGCAGCCAAAACAGCTTCCAGGCTTTCTCTTATGTCGTACAATTGGCTAGCTGCGCTTGCATGCAGCTCCTGATTATTGGATTGAATTCCTCTCCAGCTGGGCACACGTAGCCCACAGCAATGGGCTTTTGACATACAATATATTTTGAGCAATTGTGCGGATAAGGAACCAGCGAGCCTTCAGTTGTGCCTTCGCAAAGGTCATTGGGCTTGGATTGATGGGACTCGGTGGTTGTTGTCACAGGGAATTCAGTAGTGGAAGTTGGTGTCACTTTACAGCCGGCAAACCAGCTAGCCATGCAGCGCTTGAGCGTTGGACTAAACTCTTGATCCTCGGCGCATTCGAAGATCAGAGGATTGGGTGTTTTACACTGAATGAATTTGGTACAGTCATTGGGATAGGGTACTAATTCATCTTCCTCTACACCCTCACAAGGATCACTGACTTCAGGCTGTGATGTTGGCGCAGAAGAAGTGGTTGTAACCACCTTTGTAGTCAAAGCTGTTGTGGTTGAGGTGTCAGTCTCGAGACAGGCGTCGGGCGAAACATTGACACCACATTCACCACTGACGGGATCGTAGAACTCGCCGCCGCTGCAAACGCCCATCATATAGACCTTATCATTTACGCAACGAATGTACCACTGACAGTTTGCTGTAAATGGGAATGTTTTGTCGCTGTTATACATGCAGATGTCCGAAGAAGGTGTCGGCAGAGGTGGCGCCACTATCGGGGTATCGCAATCGCTTTCAGCCGCAAGCGTACACTGCTGCTCTGCCGCACTGAAGTAATATACAGTAGGGCAGTAAAATGCTATAGGCACTGGCTCTGCACAAACGATATATTTGCGACAATTATCTGGATAGCTAACATATTGTCCGTTTGGTAATCCGGCACAAATCTGCGGATCTAGCTGATCGGTTGTTGTGGATGGCGTTTGTGGAGTTGTCGCTGCAGTAGTTGCTGCTGTGGTGGTTGTTGTGATAGGGCTCTCCTGGCACGCTGTGGGCGACACATCCTGTTCACACTCTCCCGTCGCCGGATTATACCAAGCATTATATATACAATCGACAATGGCAGACTCTCCATTCCCCAAGCACATTATGTACTTCGTACAGTCGATAGTTAATGGATAAGAGACTCCCAGATTCTGATCAGCGCAGCGATCTTGTGGACTTTGAGTTGTGCTTGCTGCGGTGGTTGTTGTTTCAACTTCCTGGCAAGCTGTTTTCGGCACATCTCGCCCACACTCGCCTGTCTTTGGATCATACCAGGCATTTACTGGACATTTCGCTTTGTAATACTGATCGTCGCCCAGACACAAAATATACTGTTGGCAGTCTTCAATATATGGAAAAGATGTACCCAACTCTTGGCCCACACATTTCGTGAATGTTTCTGTAGCCGTGCTTGGTGTTTGTGTTGTTGTCAGTGCTGTAGTCTCATCATTGTAGCACACAGCGTCTTCGGCATCATCGCAAATGAGTATAACGGGATTAAAAAGAAAGTGGTCGGGACATTTCTGCATTATCATTTGCTGATCAATGCAAACCATGAACTCATCACAGTGCTGCATGGAGGGAAACACAGTTCCGCTCGGAACCTTCAGGCATTCGGGATCTGGCGTTGGCCTCTCTAATTCATTACATTGAACCGATTCGGGGACATCAGAAATCTGTAGATCTTTATTGAAGAGTTTACCGTTAGAACAGAATTTGAGCTGTGCTCGTGCATCGCTGCATGACACATATGCAGCACAGTCGTATGGATACTCATAGAAGCCAGTTGGCAAGTCTTCACAAAAACTTGGGCTCAATTCAAATTGTCTGTCGAGTCTAGTATTCCTGGCTGGACTACATTGAACAGCAAGAACTAACGATAGGATAAACATGCTCCAAGTCCAGTTAAAAGCTAAAAAGAAAAAGGAAAAAGGATATAATGAGCAACCAGGGCGTGTGATGTCTCTATATAAAATACTATAAATACTATATATATAATAAATATAAATATATATATACTAAATGCATATGGCTATTTGAGGTTGCCTCTTTTAGGCATTTGCGTATTTTATTTCTCAAATTACATTTTAATTATTGTTTTCAGTTAATAGTTAGGATACATCGTTGTAACGTTCATCGTATATATACTTTGTGTGCATCTAGTGCTGAATACATCCGGTATTCTCGGGCAGATCGCAAATGCCCTTCTGTCCGTTGAAGTATTTGTTACCGCAGCTGACCTTCAGTGCTTGCTGGTGGCGGCAGATGTAGTAGTCGTTGCAGCGCTTAGGGGAGGCCAAAAGAAAGCCGTCAGGTTTGCCAACGCAAATCATTTGAATTTGATCATCGACGGATGAGAGGCCAACTAAAGCCTGAGCTACTTCTTTAAGAGGACGACGGTTGGGACGGGCACGAATCGGGTGCTTAGCACTCAGTGCTGACATGCCCTTATTCGCTTTTCCACCTGGGCACGGTGTTGTTATGATTCCAGCGCATGTTGTTGTCGTTGAACCGCATGGAGTGGTAGTAGTGCATGTTGTCGTGGTGCAAGTTGTCGTGGTGCAAGTTGTCGTGGTGCTAGTTGTCGTGGTGCAAGTTGTTGTGGTGCTGGTTGTCGTGGTGCAAGTTGTCGTGGTGCTGGTTGTCGTGGTGCAAGTTGTTGTGGTGCTGGTTGTCGTGGTGCAAGTTGTCGTTGTTGTCGTCGTTGTTGTAGTCGTAGTACATGGAGTTGTTGTTGTGGTTGTTGTCGTGGTCGTTGTTGTTGTCGTGGGGCATGTTGTGGTTGTTGTTGTTGTCGTCGTTGTTGTGGTTGTTGTAGTCGTTGTTGTAGTAGTTGTGCATGGAGTTGTTGTGGTCGTTGTTGTGGTCGTTGTTGTAGTAGTGGTGCATGGAGTTGTTGTTGTCGTTGTTGTGGTTGTTGTTGTTGTCGTTGTTGTAGTCGTGGTGCACGGAGTTGTTGTGGTTGTTGTAGTGGTTGTGGTAGTGGTTGTTGTTGTTGTGGTCGTTGTTGTAGTCGTGGTGCATGGAGTTGTTGTGGTCGTTGTTGTGGTTGTTGTTGTAGTCGTTGTTGTAGTCGTGGTGCACGGAGTTGTTGTAGTGGTTGTTGTTGTTGTCGTAGTGGTTGTCGTCGTTGTTGTAGTCGTTGTTGTAGTCGTTGTTGTAGTCGTTATTGTAGTCGTTGTTGTAGTAGTGGTGCAAGGAGTTGTTGTGGTCGTTGTTGTGGTTGTGGTTGTTGTAGTGGTTGTTGTTGTTGTCGTCGTCGTTGTGGTCGTGGTGCATGGAGTTGTTGTGGTTGTTGTTGTTGTCGTCGTTGTTGTAGTCGTTGTTGTAGTCGTGGTGCACGGAGTTGTTGTAGTGGTTGTTGTTGTTGTCGTGGTGGTTGTCGTGGTGGTTGTCGTCGTTGTTGTCGTCGTTGTTGTCGTCGTTGTTGTAGTCGTGGTACATGGAGTTGTTGTGGTTGTTGTTGTTGTTGTCGTGGTGGTTGTCGTGGTGGTTGTCGCCGTTGTTGTCGTCGTTGTTGTCGTCGTTGTTGTCGTCGTTGTTGTAGTCGTGGTACATGGAGTTGTTGTGGTTGTTGTTGTTGTTGTCGTGGTGGTTGTCGTGGTGGTTGTCGTCGTTGTTGTCGTCGTTGTTGTCGTCGTTGTTGTCGTCGTTGTTGTCGTCGTTGTTGTAGTCGTGGTACATGGAGTTGTTGTGGTTGTTGTTGTTGTTGTCGTTGTTGTGGTTGTTGTTGTCGTTGTTGTTGTGGTTGTTGTAGTGGTTGTTGTTGTCGTCGTTGTTGTAGTCGTGGTACATGGAGTTGTCGTTGTTGTTGTGGTTGTTGTTGTTGTTGTTGTTGTTGTTGTTGTTGTTGTTGTTGTTGTTGTTGTTGTTGTTGTTGTTGTTGTTGTTGTTGTTGTTGTTGTTGTTGTTGTTGTTGTTGTTGTCGTTGTTGTTGTGGTTGTTGTAGTGGTTGTTGTTGTCGTCGTTGTTGTAGTCGTGGTACATGGAGTTGTTGTTGTCGTTGTTGTTGTGGTTGTTGTTGTTGTTGTTGTTGTTGTTGTTGTTGTTGTTGTTGTTGTTGTTGTTGTTGTTGTTGTTGTTGTTGTTGTTGTTGTTGTTGTCTTGTCACCGGTGCATGGCGGGGTTGTTGTAACACACGAAGGAGTTGTGGTGGGCTTAGTGTTTTCAGAGCACGGCGGGCGAGTGGTAACACTTGGAGGAGTAGTTGCCTGGCAAGGACTCTGCGTATCTCTAACTGTAGCCGATTCGCGATTTACGTCAACAGTTTCAATGCAGCCTGGATTGTGTTGCACACATATGCCAGCTGTAATGTCAAAGAACTTAGGGCAAGTGTACTCCTTGGACTCTCCACGATAACATTCAATGAATTTTGAACAACTGCCGGGCACAAGAGCCCGCAAGCCATTGGGCTTTCCTTGACAAAATTTCTGACCATATTGTCGATTATCCACACTGGCGCCAAGTATGGTGCTTGCCGATACTGCTATGAGCAGTAAAGTTAAAGCTGCAAATGGCCAAAAATGCGTTAGGACAACAATTCAGATGAATTGCTGGCAATTCCGGCTGCTTACCATATAAGTTACGCATAGCTGATATTTAGTAGTTTGCCGGAGTTACAAATATTTTTAATTTTCAGCTTCCCACAGCCTAGACAGTACTGAGAGTAACTCTTCGTCCCAACACGCTTATATACATATTGCAGTACTAACCAATTTGCCAAAAAAATTATTTTTCGCGCTGCTGCCTCATTAGCAAAGTAGATTCCTGGCTCCATCCTTATCAAATATTGATATCGAGATCTTTATCGTAATTTGTGCAAGTGTTTTGTTAGCATCTTCAATACCCTCTGCGGTAAAAGCAGTCGATCTTTGCTGTATATAAATTATTAACTGAAAACATCAGCTGCATAATATACTCTAGACTTTCAAGCAATCAATATTAATATTTATAAATTAAATATTGCTTGATTTTTTTTTTTTTCAAAAATTATGTTTTCTTTCCGAAGTACAAAATGTATGGTATCTCCTAGTCAAGCGTCTCAAATTCCATGCTCATAGCTGTTTTATTTATATCGGAGCATTTAATAATGATTATGAACAGAATGAAGGCTTTCGGAAATGTTAAAGGCTTTTTCATCAATTAATACTAAAATAGAAATTCATTTACTGCACGTTTAAATTAAAATTTAATTTAATATTTGATCACATGTTATTGATGATTTAAATTAGCACACGATATTTCATATACAAATTAAATGTCATATGAATTTTATATTTGTTAACTTATAATTACAAATTAATAAAAAAAGTCACGAATTTTATTTAATTATTTATATTATTTATATTATTATTTGATTAAAGTTTATTGATTTTTAGTACACCAACCATTTACCTTTCATTTTGATAATTAGCTTCTATTATTTATTTTATTTCAGCACTTTTAATTTTATGCTTTTTTACACTTTTTATATTTTCCGTATTTTATTCTTTAATATATGTAATTGTTTATTGTTTCACGGTTTGCAAGCAACTAAAGTCACAAATATTATTCGGGGAATATATTATTTTTTGGCAAGAAAATTCGTAAGGAAACTGATAAACAAACGTTAATCATATCGAGATACAAGCCACTTGGGTGATAATAGACTACACACACGGATAAGATTTAAAAAGAATTCCATTTAAATTCGTAGTATTAATTAAAAAATATGAGATTCCGGTCAAGGGTAGCAAGTGAATGAAGCACATTGTTTATTGTTTTATACCCTGAACCGATTGTAAAAGGCAATAGAGTATATATATTTTTAAACATGTATGAAACAGGCAAAGAAATCGTGGCAGACTCCATTAAGTATATATATTCTCGATCACAACTACGAGCTGAGTAGCTAAAGCCATGTCCATCTATTCGCCGGTATGAACGCTGCGATCTCGTAAGCCCCAAAAGCTAGCGACTGACAAGGTGAAGTTCTTACTCCTGCAAATTTATTATTATTTTTCATGAATGTCATTATCGCACTCCAGAGCGAAGCACAGACCGCAGTTCAGTACAGGCAGCCGCTACTTAAACTGTGAACTTTGTAAACTGTGTATTGGGCCAGCATAGAATGCTTGAAATTTCAACTTATAGCAGGGTTCAGGGTATCTCCACGTCGAGCACACTTACTTGATTATCTATAGATTTAAAAACTTTTATGATTCACTGAAGAAAAGGAGTCAAACAAAAAAATATTTACTGCGATCGTCGACAGCTTATTTGGTCTATGATATCGCTAATTTCATAAAGATAAGAGCAATTAATTTGATATTTCTACTACGACTGAAGCTTTTCTAGTATCTTATATAGGCGCTGTTTATACAGACTTCACTATACTTTCAGGCATACTTCAATATGTTAAATAGCATACTTTTAGGAGGTTCTTAAGCAAAGTATCAAATACAGATGAGGTCAATGAATTCCTTGTTCTCAAGGTTAGTTTTTAGCATCAAGCTATGAATCCTGAAATGCTCTTTCTCTGCTCAAAGCGATACGCTTTATTCTATTCATTACCTTCGTTAAATATTTAGTATTACATTTGAGTGGGAAACTAGACTGTTTACCGACTTGGAACAAGTTTTTACATTTGTCGCACATGAGCGATTTAATCAATTCTGTGTACGAGCGATAGGCAAGAAAGTTACCTGCGTATCTATCACATGGGGAGAGGTGCCGATAATATTATCGCATTGTTCAATTTACATATTGGCACTACATACTCATTCATCATTCCGTCTATATAAAACACGACTCGATGGCGAGTTCATGCAGTTTATACGAGAATTTGATCATGACCGGAGTCATGAAGTGGCCTGTGACACTTTGGATAATTCTGATTATAAGTCAAGCAGCTTTCGCCCAACTTAAGGTACAATATATGACGACCTTAACATAATTACTATATAAATATATAATACTCTATCTTATAGGATGCTTCAACGTTTAAAGCATCAATTTGCAAGGGCAAAAATGGCATTCTGATGCCAATGTTTGGCAAATGCCGCGGATACTATATTTGTAATGATGGCAAAGCTATAGCTGGATCCTGCGACGAGGACAGTCGATTTAATCCTCTGACTTTGCATTGCGATGATGCGGACAATGTAATTTGCCCGTACGAAACATCAGCTGATGACGAAGATGAATCGGACATGGACTCTTCTGAAGAAGATCAATTTGATCTGGATAGTGATGAAGTCGAGGAGCCGCCTGTTGTTATGAAACCATTGAAGCGACCAGCCAAGCCGCCCAAGGACCCTCATCATGATATATGTCTAGGCAAAAGAAATGGCGTAACCCTGCCCAAAACAGGATCTTGCACTGAATACTTTGTTTGTAAATCGAAAAAGCCCCAGCTACGGCATTGTCCAGGCCGACAACACTTCAGCTCAGCCCGCAAAATCTGCATGAAAGCGTCTATGGCCAAATGTTCCATCAGCCCGGAAGAGCCCAAGTCAAGTCCGGCTATTACAGCTGGCTTCTGCTCCGACGAGAAGCAAGATGCTCTGATTGCCCATAAGGACGATTGCAGTAAGTTCTTGCTCTGCAGCAATATGATGTTCCTAGTTATGGATTGTCCACAAGGACTGCATTTCAACACCAAAGCTAAGCGCTGCGACTACCCAAAGATCGCCCAGTGCAGTATCGATAAGAAGACAACTAAGAAAACGAAGCCAAAACAACTAAATAAGAGAAAGCCAAAAGCATAAACTTTCTAAATATATATGTACCTATATCTGATGCAATTTTAATATTTGAGACTTGTTTTAGTACTTAACGATTCTGACACTCAGATGTGGATAGTAAACTTCTCGAATGACTTTTGCTTCACTTCATTACAGTTTCACTAGGGATTCATTTTTATAATCACATAGTGAAAGGAGTATATTGGCTTGCCTCGTCTAAGTTGTTAGATATGTCCTCTGCTCGCATGGCTTATCGGAAATAGCTACATTATTTGCATTACGAACGCTTTTACTGTTGGAAGTTAGAAGGCTGAGCCATTGGAAATTGTTATATGGAGACATCTGAACTATCCCCAGATATAAACTACGCTCATTGGGATGCCGCAAATGGCGTAGAACTATAGCTGCTACAGCTAAGTCTTAGCCTGCTCTGCCAAAAATTCACGTATCCATACTATATAGTTTTTCCCTTAGAATCCTTATGATCATAGAAGTTACTGTTGCTCCTTTATAAAGACTTTGAAAGCCTTATATATACACGCCTACAGGGAGCTACACAGTCTTGGAGCTAGACTCAGCCGGCGGATAGACAAAGAAAGTATAAAAAACTTTCAATGGATAATGCCAAAATTGAAACAATATCAATTATTGGATAAGTTTAGCTACTTTTAGTACGATTTAGTAGTATTTTAATTTCGAAATCTAAACAGCTGAGTGTATGGAAACTCACACATAGTATTCCAGCAACGGCATAATATCGTATGACACTTTCCATATTTTCTACAATTCTGACAACTTCTCGATGTCAAGCAACCCCCCGCCACTATGTTTTGATTTCGAAAACTAAGAATCGGAGTATGTGAATGCAGCGTTAAATACGTTTATTTATAACTTTATGGCCAATCGCAGGTGCGAATCTTCTCGTTGAAAACTAAGCCGGCGACACAGTTGAAGTTAATCTCACATTCACATTGGCATACGATGTAGCCACCACTGGAGGCAGACTTGGCATCGGCGAACATGGCGCCATCACGTTGTCCGACGCAGCGACCCTTGCTCTCACAGTAGGTGCCCGAGGGACCGGCTGTGGGTCCGCTTGGCGGTGGGCTGCCGTCATCGCATTGGACAACATCGGGGAAGTCGCACTGCTTGGTAATGTTGTTGAACTGCAGATTGTTGGGACAGGTCTGTTGAATCAGTTGGCCGTAAAGGCAGTGAATGAATGCGGAGCAGTTCTTATCGACGGGTCCAATCCAATTGTTGGGCTTATCGCAGCATTCGGAATCGCAAACCTTGGGTATGCAAACACCCTCAGTGTCGATAACGCAAGTCTCCAGACTGGCATCGAAATAGGTTTGACTAGCGCACTTCCTCTTGACTAACTTATTATCCAGACATATGAAGTAGCCTGCGCAGTCAGATGAGTCTGCACTAAGCTCTCCGTCCTTACATGTTACTGAAACGCACTGGCCGTTATCCTGCTCGCACTGGCTGTTAGCCGAGTTCCAGTAGTAACCAGAGTTACAGGAGGCCGAGACATACTCTCCGTTCTTGCAGACTTGATATTTGGTACAATCGGAGGCATCCACTTTGGTATCTCCTTCTGTGCATGCACCGGGCGCACCGGGCTCACCGGGCGCACAGGGCGCACCGGGCGCACCGGGCTCAACAGGAACGCATTGGCCGTTGTCAGGTTCACATTGTTGGTTGTTTGAATTCCAGTATTGTCCGCTAGGGCACGACTTCAGAACGAACTTTCCCGTACAGCAGCCGTAGTACTGGGTGCAATCGCCTTCGACGGGCTTGGTATCGCCGGGTTGACAGCAATCATCATCGGCTGCAGCTCCAAAGACCAGGGTCACAGCAATGGAAAGGAGATACACTACAGGTGAATAGATGAATCAGACATAGAACTTGATATTGTGTGAGCTCAATAATGCTCGTATCTTACCAAATTTGAGGTTTCTATTGTGAGCCATTTTCGCAGTCCGCTTGTTAGACGACTTTTACCTAGGTAGAGAATTCGCTTACTGACATTTTCCGGCCCATGCCTCAGCTTTTATATTTTGCCGCAATTAAAATAATGAAATGTTTCTGCTCAAAGACGGATGCAATTGCCAACAGATAAAGGAAAACCGGTGCTACTGATCATATCGAACACAACATTGATTTCTTATCAAAATATTAAAATGTCTAAAAGAAAGTAGAAATTGGTACACAAGCAAGATACCGAAATACATATCTCATTGACCTAGAAGGAAGAGTATAAACTCATCTCACAATTTCAACTAACAGTCGATAGGCCTACTATGGCGTATAGCATACTCTACGGAGTGCAGAACTAGAAAGTTTCAAATAAAAATTGAGTTGATTTAACTATTAATAAAAATATATAAACTATACAATTTTCTTTCAATAATTGCTACATATAACAAGTAAGAAAGCTCTGTACGACTAGGAGATCCCCTGAACCCAGTCCATATTGTCCATGGCTTGTATCGCTCACTAAAAAAAATTGAAATTAAATACCAAGATTCGAACCAACATTGCCAACACCTCCACTTTATAACGTTCATTCATAACATTGACAATTCAAGCGCAATTCACTCTCAATTTCAATTCTTGGAATAAAAAAAATACACGCCTTTTGCCACGTGCTTTTGCAAATTGGCCAAATGTTTTGTTCAATAACTTCTGAATTTCTGATTTTAATGAAATTTTCAGCATAAGATTTATAAATTTGTTTCGAGTGCTTGTCAGCTTAGTAAAAATGCAAACCCCCTCACATATGGCCTCTAATTTCAGCTAAGCTTAATTTGAAAGAATTTGGGAAATTCGAACCGTTATCCAAATTATAACAAAAATCAAAATTGTATAAATTATATATAAAACTAAATACAAAATTTGAAGGATCTAAGCCGTACGAGATATAATTTAATAACGGCATTTCGTTTATGTTTTTAATCGATAGCAATAAATTACTTATTATCGATTACTTCAAACAAATTTGACAAGTCAAGTCTCTAGCACTTATAGTTGCTGTGATCGACACGTTCACACAGACGGACAGACGGACAGACATACAAACGAACAGGGCTCAATCTACTCAGATCAAGTATATATATATACTTTATGGAGTCTGCCACGCCTCTTTTGCCTGTTACATAAATTTTAACAAAACCATTATAGCCTGCCCCAATGAGCAGACCATTTGACTTATAGCTCTATCGATAGAGCTTAAAGCCGATGCAGCAGATGCTAACTCTGGAACTCTTATTTCGTCTCGCAAAGATGTAAATGAACATATTTTTTAGTCATTCCTTAATTATTTCTGTCTGCTGGTATGCTCGAAGTTCAAACAATGCCTTAAAAACATTTTAGATATTTATGCTTAATTTGAATTACAAATTGAATGCTTAGAGGCCTAAGGCTGTAATATAAACATGAGCTTCATTTTGATGCCATTTAAGTTGACGCAGAGCATTGACCTTTGGTGTCGCCCACACACGCCTGGATTGCGGCATCGAAGTAAAAGCCACGAACACATTTCTGACTCACAAATTCTCCCTTCACACATAGGAAATAGGCAGCACAGTCGTGGGGATCGAGCTGGATCTCGTTTGCTGTGCACTGATCGTTACGCGATTGACATGACTGAATTGTGACGTTTCAAAAGCTTCCGCATTCGCAAGTCTTGCGAACCAAAGCTCCATTGCAGCAGGCAAAGTAGCTGCGGTCATCATGGGGATCCTCCTGTGTCTCGCCGTCTGTGCAGCAGTTTCTAGCTAGCGATGCGATCGAGTGCCATAAGAGAATGACCGCAAGGAGCACTGTGCAATAAATTTCAAATATTTTCAAGTCTCTCCAAAGTATTTCACACATTTATACCGTATTGCTGGTTCTGTAAGCGTTCGAGGTACATTTGGAGCTCGAGTGTTTACTAAACACCTGCATGTTTTTCTCACCTTTTATATTTACCTTTTATTCGCCTATCAAAATTATGTTTCTGCATGCGTCTGATAATGGAGCCTGATAATATATTACACGACTGGCAATATCTAACTTGTTACAAGACTCGTTTGATTTATTTTAAATTATTTTAATTAAAAAATTCTTGAGTTGAAAAGTGAAAATTTCCATGGAAATTTTTAAGAGGGCAAACCCCCTTCCCCATTAAAATCAAATTTGTATGAATTGGGCAAGTCAACACAAAGAACCTAATCACAATCCTTATATATAATATAAAAGCTAATATGCTGATTGAAAATCTCTAGTGGGCGAGCTATAAAGTTCTTATCTTGACGTTATAAAGATTTTTTTTTAGGGTTGATAAGACCTTTGGATCTTTTCCAAATTAATTGTTTACTGTTTTGACTTGTTACTATCTGACTCAACTATCAGAGCAGGCTCTACAGAAGGTAGGTCAAACAGGCAAGAGTCTAGTCAGAGGTATATAAATCTTATGATTTCCATAATCATTATTGTCATTATTATTATCATTATTATTGTCATTATTATTGTTGAATCGTCATATATACCACATGGCAGTAAAATATGAGCGAATACAGAAGATAAACTGATGCTCTGGATCCATAGGACAGCAGGCTCAGTGACGAGCGCCGCCACCTGAGTTCGATGTCGTGTCCCAGTCGCAAACCTGAGCCGTCTGATTGAATTTGGTATTGGCATCGCAGGGCATGGCAATCGGACACTGGCACTGGCAGACGAAGTAGCCATTGGTATTCGGATCGGCAAACATTTTGCCATCTCGCTGGCCAGCGCAAACGCTCTGGTCGCTGCAAGTGGTGCCCGAGGGACCGACCAGCTCGCCGTCATTATCGTCTGTGCTCACTGGCGTGCAGTCCACTTCCCACGGATAGTTGCAGGCATTCTGCGTGGCATCGAAGTACAAGCCGCTGGGACAGCTTTGCTCCGTGCAGCAGCCGTGGTTGCATTGAATAAACTTCGTGCAGACGCCAGAGATCTGCAGCAGAGTTCCGTCCGCTTGATTGACGCAGTCCTGGCGCTCATCGCTACAGTAGCCAGGCAAGTCACCGTCACCACCGCCCGGTGGACTAACAGGCTCAGAGGGATCCGTATTGAAGGTGGTCTCCCCGGTGGTCGTCACAATGGGCGACGTTTCCGTAACGCCAAAGTCCGGGCTGCTGGTCGGGCCGCTGGGCTTCGTGGTCTGTTCCACTGGTGCACAAGGTGTGGTTGTCTCCACCGGCTGATCGGGACACTGCTCGGCACAGCACGTACAAACGCACTCATCATCGACGACAGCCTTGCCGAACAGCAAGAGCCCGGTGCAGTCGGCACGCCACTGGAAGTCGCATTCGCCCAGCTCCGAATTGAAGTGGAGACCCCGTGGACAGCGGCGAATCTGGGCAACTTCTTGCTCCTCGCACACAGCGAATCTGGCGCAATCCAACGGCAACGGCAAACGCGTGCCGTCCGCCTCATCGGCGCAAATATTCGACCATTGCGCAAACGCACTCTGCGCTCCAATCAGCAAGATCAAACCAACTGCGAAGGGAAATCGATGAATGAACTCAGTTTTTACTATAGGATTTTTTACAATTTACCAATTTCTTTTCTTATTTTGCACATTTCTCCGCCTGAGTATCGAGCGCAACTAATGATCGAGCGCGTTGGCTCAGTGGCATTTATGGCAATGGCTAGGAAAATTTAGGCACCCATATAGTATATCAAATCAGTAGTCAATCGTCTTGATAATACCAATAAACGTATTTACCTCTTGATTAATTCTCCCTGCATGCATCGCGTGTGTAATTACGCACTTGTTGCTGGATACGAAGCCCTCTTATCGATAGCAACTATCACAGTAAAAATGCGAAAAAAGAAATAGAGACAAAACCTTTTCTAGTTGGAGCCGTGCTCAATATTCACTCGCAACTTGTTATGAAGCGTTAATTTCTGTTCTGCCACCGGCGATAAGGCATTCATCTCTATCTCTCTCTCTTTCTTACTGTTATCAGACACACTCAATAGTTCATTCATTCGGCTGTTGTTTAACAATTCTTTAGCTATTAACTCCATTGTTCAAAGCAGCGATTGCAATCTCAAGACAGTTAAAGCCCTGGGCGTACTTAGCTCGTCTGGCACACACTTATTATGTGAAACGACATCATGACATCAATTACAAGTAGTTTAAGCTAGCTTTTGACTATCTGATTAGCTAATATATGCCTATCATAAACAAAGCTCTTCAAGTTGGCCAAAAGTATGCAAGGAAATGTGTTTTCTTTTAATTATTTAGTAACATTATTAAATATAGTTATTTTATAGCATACTTTTTCTATTAGGCCTCTGAGTGGGCTTATTAACAGGCTGGAAACAGGCCAGAAAACTCCTTCAAACTGCAAATTAACTGATGCTTTTGATATGCACACTTCATCAACTGACGTTGTCATGCTTGCACGACCGGAAGGTTCTTAATTTGCAACATTTGGCAGCAATCAAATGTTGATTTACGCGAAGCTTCTGCCGCGTTTCATTGCACTCAGAGAAAAGAATGAATTCTGCGTTGTTAGTGGAAGTCAGACTTAAAGTCTAAAATAAATGGCAATCTAAGCAAACACAAAACTAAACCCTTTTCAAAGGATATATAATTATAATTAAATAAAAATAAGCCTAGCCTGGATGAGGCCAGGCATCGACTCACACAAGATGTAAGTAAAAGTAGTTTCAGAGGGAATTTAAGAGAATCATCATATATGCCAATTGAGAGCGACATACAAAGGTTCAGCTAAGACCAACCAGAAAGCAGAGGCAAAGAGGCATAGTTTCTATATAGAAAATAGAGCGTAAAGATCTTTGAAAATATTATGAACAAGCGCTCAGCTCATAGCTAGCTGCGTATTATAACTAAAAGTCTACTCACATAATTCTATCGACAAATAAAAATGTACTTTAAATATGAGCTATCAATAAGATAATCGTAAGGTAACTATTACATATGCTCCCACTTTACATTCTCTTATCAAGTCTAACACACTTAAAGGGTATTACTGGGTCTGCTTGAGGCATTATAGCTGCTGCCATTGAATAACACTTTGATAGGTAAGCGATATTTGCACAATTAAGACACAAAACAAACACATGGACGGGGCAGATGTCACAGCTTTATATATGTATAGCAAAGAAATCGTTGAATTATATGTATATATATATATATATATATGTATGTGTGTGTGTGAGGTATGACATGTACTGTTAGATGGAAATAATTGTGCACCTTGATGCACAGCGGTGACTGCGGTGAGTGGCTTCCTGCTTTGGGTCGAGCTAGATGGGATCCGCATTTGAAATTGAGACCGAGACAATTCTAATTATTTTTATAGAAACATACGCCGAGGTACGCTTGAATTAAATTACCAAAGCAAAGAAACTAAACTGCACTAAGACTTGGCCTGCAGAAGGAAAAGAAGAGCAACAAATGTGTAGCTTTCGGGCTAGACGCATGGCTGGCAAAAGTTGGGTTTATGGGTGTGCATTACATGGTAAGTGTTAGCCGTCTAAGTAGGGTGCACACACACACAAACACAGACAGAGAGACTGAGAAGGAGGACACCCGTCCAGCAAGGGAAAAGCCAAAGACAGAAACACGAGTTGATCGACAGACAGTCAGAGTACAAGGGACAGGCATACGCTCGATCTATTGTAAAAATCTTCTCAGGTGTAACAGGTTTCTCAGATTTAAGCGCTGGCTGCGCCTCTGGCCCGAACAGTCGTCTGTGACACGTTCGCTCGCCTCGTTATCAACAGTCGTGATCGCGTAGTGCCCATCATCATAGCTGCTATCTACTATGCCACAAAGCACACCACACCACACCAGTTCAAATTGAAGAACTGAGATCGATTGGTGCATAGATAACGCCCAAAAAGTCATTTCATTTCAATTCTAGCACCATTCGAAATCAGTGCTTTTTATTGGAACCGCTCAACGGTGCATGGAAGTGTCTTAAGTGCCTCTGCGAAAGTCCAAAACTCTGCTGCTATTTATCTATATATAAATATATATATTTTATATATAAACATTTATATATTTGCTGTCTTTTTGTAAGTATGCGCGCTGCAAGTGACATGTTCGGAAGCCCCCCAAGTGCAGCGACATTTCCCATTGACTTGAGCAGCAAAGTACACAATATGAATCACATTATATATCAACTATATCATTGCTGATTTATATGTATGTATTTATATAATTATTTTATCGCATTTACCGCGTGACCACACAAAATTCCCAAATTTGGAATGTCAAATTCTTTCTTTTCTTCTCGTTCATATATTATTCTGTTCAGCGCTATAAATCGAGAGATTTACGAACTTCATTCTCAAATTTAATGACTCAATTTTCAAATATTATTTATTAAGGTCAATTTCATGGCAAAGAGATTATTAGGAACAAGCTAGAAAGCTCCAACTGATAACCCAGATACTTGAGGGTACTTCATACTTTATATATATATACTTTAAAACAAATTAAATAGCAAAGTTAATAACTTGTGCAAAAATTTCTTAACAAACTTTATCGAAAAGTTTTTAATGATAATTTTTGAACCCGTTTTTTCTGCCAGCTTCATTGAGGCAGCATATACCTAACATACTTTCTGTGTTCAGCGACCTTAACAAACTAAAATATAATTTTCATAATACAACAGTTTCAGTCGAAACTATTCAGAAGACCTATTCATAAACAGCCACCAACCGCAACATGCCAAGAGTCCTTAAAGGAATCTCAGAAGCAGCAAGATTATTAAGTGGACTAGAAACCCATCAAAATCACTCGGCATCAACCTAACAGACAGCATTAGACCAAATGATTAAGCCCTCTAGAGCTGCCCTTCAGTTCAATCTAAGACAAAAATCTTAAATATATATAGATATATATATATATATTTATATAAATATATATATTTAAAAAGTAAAAATAAAATAATAATTAAATTTAATTAAATACATAAAAGGAATATATTTAAAAGTATTTTAGAAATTAATACCAAAATATAAATACACAAAAAAATAATAATATATATAAGTAAATTACAAAAAATTAATAAAATAATAAATAAAATATTGAATCATTTTAAAAACTAAAAAAAATTATAAAAAAATTTATAAAAATTGAATTAAAATAACTTAAATATATTTAAATAATTTATAAATTAATACAAAAATAAATAAAGAAATGTAATATTTTTTATACTAAAAATAATATAAAAAACTTAATAAATAAATCTATGTATATAAAATAATAAATACAAAAGACTTCAATATATATATTTCCAAAAGAAAATAAAATTAATAAATATAAAAAAATTGTAAATTAATAAAAGTATTAAATTTAAAAAAAAAAAGAAAAAGTAAATAAATAGATATAAAATAAACTTCAGTAAAGGTTCTTTAGCAGTTCATGTGCGTCTCAGGGCGCACCGTCAACATCCTTATCACCTGAAGAGACACATGTAGTAGCGTCACAAATTGAATTATTTACACCTGTTGTTAAAGGCGGCAGCAATTTAAAAATAATTACTGTGTGCTCTTATCAAATATTTGGCTACCTTGTAAATCATCTTTAGCTAACAATAAATTTGAGCAAAAAAAAAAGACACAAAGAAATACCCAAATTTCAAGGTGACAACATGTGTTTCATCAATTAGACGTCAAGGGCGGCCAAAAATAAACGGGGACTAGTTCCATTTCTCGGGATTTTACAGCGATTTCCAATAACTGATCTCGTTAATATTTCAAGTGAAAAATAAAGCAAAAACTGGGCAAAAACTTGTGAGGAATCTGTGAACATTTTCGTAATTATTTGGCTGCTAGTTTGGGCGGCAGGTGTGTATGTGACTTGCCAAATCTTATCTGTGGGGAAACGGTAATTGCTTTCGCATAATATATAGCCGCGAATCTATATATTGTGAATGCGCTGCGTATATAATGCCAAATATCCAAGCGCCGGCAGTTAGTTGATTTTGTTTACCCAACAGAGAAGCGACGCCTAAAACATGCAAGGTAAACGCATGATCAATAAAATTATTAGGGGAAATATCTTTAAAGCTAAGACTTTTCGCTTTGCAGAGTGGCTAATGATAGCGCTGCTGCTGCTGGCATTGGCTCAGCTCAGCTGGCAAACGGAATACCTGAACAATGGCCTAGATGTGTGTCGCCTCTTCCCGGATGACACAAAACTGCGCAAGCCGGGCTATTGTGACAGATCGATTGTTTGCCAGAATTCTATGAGCACGGAAGGGGAAATATGCAGCGGTACCAAGCCCTTTTTCAGCCTATCCAAGGGCGCTTGCAACACGCCGGACTCATCGGACGCATACTGCAAGAATCCGTGCACATCCAAGACCAGCGGCTACGTGGGCGATACTATGAACTGTGCGAATTGGTATTACTGCGACAAGGCCAATTTGCTTGGCAGCGGTGTTTGTGGCAATGGCATGTGGTTCGATCAGACGAGAAAGATCTGCGCCTATCCCAGCGATGTGCCGTGCGAGGCCAAGTTCGAGCTCTGCCAGGTGATGCCAACGGGCGTGGCGGCCATGGATCCGTTGTATTGCAATAAGTATTTCACATGTAAAGGGGGCAAGGCCACAACTTTCACCTGCGAGAGCGGACTCTATTATGATGTGGCGCAGAAAAAATGCATTAAGAAGTCTTTGGTGAAGTGTGAGAAGCATCCGGTGCCCGAAGATGTCTGCGGCACCAAGAAGCTGGCGAAGCGCGGCAAGTTCGTTGCCGATGGCGCCACTTGTCGTGGCTATTACTATTGCCGGGACTTGGGCTCGGGTGTGCCGGATACGGCACCGGTGTGGCATCAGTGCCCATTGGAGACATTTTTCAATGAGAATCTCGAACTCTGTCAGGATCGCGGCGCACGCAAATGCAATGAAGATCGCTGCGATGGTCGCGAGTCGGGCTACGAGCTAGCCGAGGAATTGGGCTGCCAGCACTACCTGGAGTGCAAGGATGGTGCAACGATAGACATACATAAGTGTCCCGATGATACGTATTTCGATATACCAACAAAATCGTGTACTCCAGAGAAGAAGAACTATGGCATCTGCAACGCAGACCCAGATCCATATGATCCTAATAATTGGCACTTCTAAATAAATTTCTCAAAGCACTTTAATAGCATTATAACACGTTAGGCATTAAGTTAATTAACTACACTCAATTGCTTTATTTATAAGCTGCAGAGCTGCAATAAAATTGTTTTGGCTGCTAATATTTACGAAAAATTAACGAACTTAGCCGAGTTTATTCAAAACGTTAATAAGCAAAATGGCAGCTATTCACAATAGCGCTGCACAAGCATAAAGCAGTTCAACTCGCTGTGCAAAGCAGTGCAGGCAAACAGTTTACAATAACTGCTTGCGGCAGTATTTAGGTCATTGCAAGGTGTGCACTGCTTGGTATGTCTGAAGCTTTTGGCGCGCTAATTTGAATTGACAATTTTTAATATATTTTTAATAAAGCAAAAATAAACTCTCTTCAAAACTTTATTGATTTAAAGCTTCTGTAAATTATTACTATTTATTATATTTGTGTATGCATATAAATATGCAATCAATATGGCAATGATATCACATGTGAAGCCCTGCTATGCGATTCTCATAAAGTCAAAGAGAGCTTAAAACTTTTGAAGTGCTCTTATTATAGCTTTTCATATTCATTTATTCACAATAATTAGTATTGAATATACATGTATGAGTAACTATGTTGGCTTTCTATAATTTGTTAACTCTGCAGCTGTTAGTCTAATCTGTAATTTAATATTATTATAATTTCATATATGCTAAAAGTAATTATATATATTTTTATACATTTAAATTTTAAAATTTTGATAATTCATTAAAAGTATTTTTAATAAATTCCGAAAAAGAAAGACTTCCATGCCGCATTTCGGGCTGAATGTTTTACACTGACCCAATGCGTTTTGGGCATTTTCGCATGCCTCATGCCACCACCGGCAAGTGGCAACCCAGGCAACTGGTTGTGGAATGAAGCATTGTGGAGTAATTATCCGCCAGACGGAAGAAGCTCCAACTCCGTTGCATTCTAGGGGTAGTTCAACGCCCACACACAGCAAAGAGAGAGACCTAGAGAGAGAGAGAGAGAGAGAGAGCCTGTACGAAAACTCCATTTTGCAGTGCTGCAGGCTGCAAAATTTCGCTTTTTTCCATGTAGAGACTTTCCCTGTAGTTTTCGTTTTAGACTTCGATGTGACATGAAAAGCAAACCCAGAGACAAAAGCAAAAAGAATCCAGCGTGGGAGTGTGTTAGTAAGGCTAATTGGTTCTGATGCTGCGTCTGCCTGAACTGAAATTTTAAAAGGACTAAAAAAAATGAAGAAGCAAATAAACTATTTTTTTTTTTTTGTTGTTGACGAGGCTTTTATTAAATGATAAGCGTTGAAATTGGCATGTGATTAATGGTAATTATAAATATTTAATTTAAATGGCTTACACGATTATGGTTTTTATATATATAATTGTGTTTGGCTGCAGTTTTATTTTATGACAATATTTCTAATTTTTTCTTATATATTCCTGAACTAAAAAGTTCATTTCTAATTATGCCACACATACATTGGCAATGGTTAAACTGGGCACATTTGTTTTCAGCAAATATATTTAGCTGGCAGTTGCAGACATCTTAAGCTTTAGTATATATAGTGCACTTGTTCAAGTAATCGATTCAATTCTGTTCGCTTACATAAAGTTTTACCTTAATTAAAAATAATTATTGTCGATGATCTTAATGATGCTGTTGGTCTTCATAGATAATATTTGTATTTATATCTTTAAGGATTAAGATTATCTCTATACTGCTGATGATCTTCATGATGATGATTATCTTTACAATCTTGATCAACTTTCTAATGACTCAAATCTTCATAATGTGGTTGATCATCTTTATACTGATGTTGCTCTTGATAACGTATGTGATCTTCATTATGTTACAAATGATCTTTATAATGATGATGATGTTTATGATGATGAAGCTTGTATTCATACTGATGATGATCTTTATGTTGTTGATCATCTTCAAATGTTAAGATAATCTTCATACTGATGTTCTTCTTTCTAATGCCTCCATTTTCATAATGATCGTCATCTTTATAATGTTGCAAATCTTCTAAGTGATGTTAATCCTCAAGATATCATAATGATCATCATCTTCATAATGAAGTTGTTGTTGATATATGTTGAAGTGAAGCGATCTTAACAAATTGAAGTTAATTAGAATTCTTAGCGTCAGTCTTAGAATCGACTAGCTCTACATGACTCTTCGCGTGACCTACCTACCTATGTATGTGTATATATGTATAAATACATAATACACATATGCGCTAAAAGCTTTTCTAACAACAGACTTGGCGTAAAACTGAAAGAAGAAGCAGAAGCTGCTGCTGCTCACATATGTATTTCCACTGCTCTCAGCATTTGCATATTTTATTTGGCTTGGGTAATTCTATCTAATCGGGTCAGAGCGTCTATAGCAGCCTTAGTTAATAATCCCAAACGGAGATAGCCTGATTTAAGCATAACTCGTTTATTAGACTGAAACCCAGCTGCAAATAGACTCGACTAATGTCTGGCATGGAGAGTCTATGGCTACGGTCATTTGTTGTTGTTGTGCATAAATTGAGGTGTGTATGTGTGTGTGTGTGTGTGGGGCACTCAGACAACACCCTGTGAGTTGTGCGCACTCACTAAGGGTTGTGTCCTGCCCCATGTAGCATTGCAACAATTTGCTGTAAGTACGTAAAACTGTTCTGGTTGTTGTTTATATTTGGACAACATTTGTTAGTTGCAGCCGAGTCTCACCTTGCTACGATTTCGTGCTTCCCTGTTCATTTTAATTATATATATAAATACATATATATGTTTATATATATATATCCTTGTTGGTCTTTCGCGAATGTTAGAAAGTTTCCACCCTCTTTTTGTGAGTCGGATCCAAGCCCTTGCAAGCTCCCTTGTTGGTTTCACTGCCATTCGGCGTCACGTTCGCCGCATGCCACATGCCGCATGCCCCGCCCGCCGCTCTGGCTCTGGCGTCTGCCATTTTGGCTTTTCCTGCAGGAAGCTTGCATATTTTACGTGCTCCACGTCGTTGTTGCTGTTGTTGCTGTTGTCGCCTTGTCTGTGCGGGCATCTGTCTGTGCTGTGCACTGTGCACTGTGCTGGTGCCCCAACTCTTCACTTTTATCGATTGAATTGTGTCTCAGGCTGTGAAATACAGGTCATTGATCTGCCTGTGCTTGCTTTTTCGCCACCATAAACCAAACGAAATACTCCTCACTCTCATCTAGATTGAGAGTGGGCCGCGTTGCCGGTGAACCGGGAAGCGGCTGGCCATCGAATGTGCCAGACACTCGACGAGTCCAGCTCGTTTTCGGCGACTGCTAAACAGACTGTGGACATGATGGATTTACGCTAGATGCCGAACTTGGATGCGTCGAAAAAACTGTTTTCGAAAATTTGTTTTGCGAGATTTGCTTATAAATCGTGAACGTAGAAGCTTTTTGCCACTGAGGTAGTTTGATTATAAGGCTAAAGTTTAAATCTTGGCTTAAATATTTAAATATCATAAATATATTTATCTATGCTATTTGAGCTGCTGTCTGAAGAGGTTTTTGTAGGCTAAACCTCGTTTGAGTTGGCTTTAATATTTTTGAAAAACATGGAGCTTGATAAATTTTCAATATTTCTTGCACTAGGAAATATTTACAGCACATTTATAATTAAGTTAGTTAAATATATTTATATATCTCTAAAATAGTTAAGATCTCTCTTTTTATAAAAATCTAAAAAATTCGCTCAGCTCTCTCTCTCTCAGCTCAGCTTTACTTGTGGCATAGGAACTTATAGCTCTAATTTATTTGGAAATATGTTTAAGAAAAATTTTAGAGATCACAAAAAAGAAAATATATATATATATATATATATATATATATATATATATATATATATATATATATATATATATATATATATATATATATATATATATATATATATATATATAAATATTCAAACATCTATCATTATAGCTATACTATACTATGTAGCAATTTAATCATATTTTCTATATAGATGCGATGCAAATATAATTGAAATTTGAGTTTGTTTTTGTAAGCTCAAAAATTCTATTATTATTAACTTCAAATCTTGAATCTTAAATATATAATTTTCAAAGCAATTTATAAGAGTATAAAGAAAATCAAATTTTGTTAAACTATAGCTTAAAAACTGGACTCTAAAGTAATATAAAAAGTATAATTCTTTATATAATATAAAACATAAAACATAAAACATAAAACATATAATATATATAATATATTTAATATATATGATATATATAAAATCATTATTATATGTTCCTTAAACTCCCCTTAACTATACTAAAGTATATAAAGATTCAACCAAGACAGATAATATATCTGCCCAAACTCATAGATCAAGTTAAATCATAAGCCGAAATTTCAATTAAATAAAAAACTGAACTGAAATTGATCTCATATATCATAACAATTGTAATCTTAACTTCCTCTTAGCTATAGCATAAAATTATACACAAATATAAATTACAACAAATTCAACCACCAAGAGGCAAGGCAAAGGCGTCTGGCCCAGTCGCAGTTGCTTTGCTGTGCCTTGTCACACGGTTTCCGTGTCGGACATGCGACGGGACGCGGCGGCAGTGGCGGAGGAGTATGACGATGATAACGAAATCGTTTTTAGCTTTGGGGTAGTGGAGCAGCCAGCGAGTGTCGTGTCGTGGGCACAAACTGTACCAAAAGTGCGCATGGAAGGGAACACGAGAGCAGGCGAACAGGCGGACAGACGGACGAACACTAGACCAAGCCAGAGCCAGGCAGCCAGCCAGCCAGGCCCAGACAGTGGTAGAAAGAGAAACCAACTGCGACTTATGGCCCAGGATGTGTTTTTGGCCAAAGTTGTAGCTGTCAGCGTTTATTTCGAGGGTTGCACTCCAGGCCGGAAAATGCGAATTAAAATAACTGAAAACACAAAAGAAGCAGAGAGAAAAAAAAAACAAAAAAAAAACACCAGAAAAGAAAGAAGAAGAAAAATGCATTGGAAAGACGTCTGTGTGCGGTTCAATGACCAAATGCCGCCGATGCTAACGTGGTCCGCACCTACCCAAAGCTCAAATGTGACTAGAGAAAATTCTCGTGGCAGCAAACGAGTTGCAAGGTCGATGAACGCTGTTACAGTTGCAGTTGCAGTTGCAGCTAGGGAAACTGCCAGCAAAGCGCAGTTAATATTCCCAGACTAAAACACGTTTTTCGGGCTGTGCGCACAATTGTTTAGCTCGAATTTGCCAATGTCTGGCAACGCCAATCAATCATAATTTGAGTGAAGCTGTTCTGAAAGGTTTTCTATGAGGCTTACGCAATTTTTTCAGTTATATAATAATGTGGCTACGATAGCGACAACAGTCAGGCAAAAAAGACATATTTTTCAACTGTCTGGCAACACTAATTAATCGAAATATGATTGAAACACATAAAAGCTGTTCTAGGATATATCTAAATAAATTCGTTAGCAATTAAACTTTATTTGTTTTCTATTTTCAATAGTCTGGCAACGCCAACGCTTAATTCAATCAAACCTAATGACTGAAGCTGCTTATAAAAGAAAGCCAAAAACTTGATTTTTTTTACAAATTTCTAGAAAGTTCAGTCAAAGACAATGATTGAAGCTGCTCAAGAATCCATACAATTTTGCACATCTGGCAACACCTAGTGTAACAATAAGTCAAAGCATTCAAATACAGCTGACTATAAAACATCATCACACAAATTTAATCCGACATTAATTTGATTTAGACTTTTTTAAGTGTCTGGCAACGCCAAAGCTGTCAATCAATCAAAGCCAATGATTGAAGTTGCCTGTGCAATCTATCGGTCTCTAAGTTTTCAAGAATCTGGCAAGGCCAGCGCCGTGAATTAGGCAAATTTTATTTCTTTTTAACTATCTGGCAACGTTAGCCCAATCACTCAATAAAACCTATGATTGAAGTTGATTGAGCTTCAAATTTTAAAAATATCTGGCAAGGCTAAATCTGTCAATCAAACCTTTTTTATACATTTTTAAATGTCTGGCAACGCTATGCTCTAAAAAGTGTTCAAGTTCACTTTGCTATTCGATTTATATAGTCTGATATATATTTCTCAGTTCGCTTGGCTTTGTTGCAAGCTCCATGGCATCGCGGTCAGTGCAGTTGCAGTCACAATCGCTGTGCCACATGGCGCATGCGTCGTTGGCAGCGCTGCCTAGCATAGGATAATGGCCTCTGGTAACGCTCGTTGATGTTATAATCGTTGGCGTCGTTTGTGCCGCCAAACGAGGCACAGCACAAAGGAGACGCCCAACACTCGCCCCACTCTCACTTGCGTGGCGCTGCAGGCATTGACACGGACTGTGCCTCTGCCACTGCCACTGCCTCTGCTTGCATTGGCAATGGCAATGGCCATGGCCATGATACGGCCATGTAGAGTACTCTATATGCTACTCGTGCATTCAGCTTTTGCCACACACGAATACACCTCGCCTGACCCAACTATTTGCATTTCTAGGCTGCCTATTAGGGAAGAGAAGTGGAGTAGTCGAAGCAGAGATACTCTGTAATTAGCACAGATGATGAAGGTAATTAATTTTGCAGTAGAAAGAGCTTGCTTTTTAGTATTAGAAATATATTTGATAAATATTGCTCGATTGCTAGATACCCTGTAAGTAGTAATATAATATAAATAATAATAAAACATAGTAGAAATAGTAATACAAATAGTAATAGAAGTAATAGTAGTAGTAGAATTAGTATAAGTAGTAATAGCAGTAGAAGTTGTAATAGTAGTAAAAGTAGTGTTAGTAGAAGTAGAAATAGTAGAAGTAATCATAGTATATGTAGTAGTAAGAGTCATGGAGATGAAGTAGTACTAGTAAGAGTTGTAGAAGAATTAGTAGTAGCAGTAGTACTAAAAGTACTAGTAGTAGAAGTACTCGTAACAGAAGTAGTAAAAAAAGAATAAGTAGTAGAAGTAGCAGTAAAAATAGCATGATTAGTAGTAGAATAGTAGTAAAAGAAATAGTAGAAGTAGTAATAAGAGAAACAAATACAAGAAAAAGTAGTATAAGAAGCAGCAAAAGTAGTAGAATTAGTAGTAGAAGTAGTAGTAAAAGTAGTAGAATTCGTAGTAGAAGTAGTAGAATTAGTAGTAAAAGTAGTAGAATTAGTAGAATTAGTAGTAGCACTAGTAGTAGAAGTACTAGTAGAATTAGTAGTAGAAGTAGTAGTAAAAGTAGCATGATTAGTAGTAGAACTAGTACTAAAAGAAATAGTAGAAGTAGTTATTAAGAGTTATACAAGAAAAAGTAGTATAAAAAGCAGCAAAAATAGTAGAATTAGTAGTAGAATTAGTAGTAGAAGTAGTAGTAAAAGTAGTAGAATTCGTAGTAGAAGTAGTAGAATTAGTAGTAAAAGTAGTAGAATTAGTAGAATTAGTAGTAGCACTAGTAGTAGAAGTACTAGTAGAATTAGTAGTAGAAGTAGTAGTAAAATTAGTAGTAGAAGTAGTAGTAAAATTAGTAGTAGAATAAGTAGTAAAAGTAGTAGAATTAGTAGTAGCACTCGTAGTAGAAGTAGTAGTACAATTAGTAGTAGAAGTAGTAGTAGTAGAATTAGTAGTAGAAGTAGTAGGAGAATTAGTAGTAGAATTAGTAGTAGAAGTAGTAGTAGAACTAGTAGAAAATTTGGAAATAGGAGTAGCAGTAGTAGTAGAATTGGTAGTAGAATTAGTAGTAGAAGTAGTAGTAGAATTCGTAGTAGAACTAGTAGTAGAATTAGTAGTAAAAGTAGAATTAGTAGAATTGGTAGTAGCACTAGTAGTAGTAATAGTAGTAGAATTAGTAGAAAATTTGGAGGTAGAAGTAGTAGTAAAAGTAATAGTAGTATAAGTAGTAGTCGTGGAAGTAGAAGTAGCAGAAGTACGAGTAGAATTAGTATAATTAGTAGTTAATAGTAGAAGAATTAGTAAGTAGAAATGTAATTGCAAGTAATAGTAGTAGAATAGTAAGTTTTCTAACTAGCCCTAAATCATCTTCCATTAATTAAATTCTTAGTCACACTGTTAAAATAAATCAAATCCATGTTATGTCATATTTGAAATTTGGTTTATTTATAATTTTGGAAATGAGAAACATACTGACACACACACACACATACAAGGCATCTGCGCAGAGTGAATTGGGGTTAATTCAAAGGGAATAACAAATGACAAATAATTCTTCCCTTTTACTGCCCCCCTTTATCTTCGTTTGGTTCTCCTCTTCCATTCCATACACATACGATCGTTAACAGCTGCCCGAAGCGGAAATTGGAATTGGGTAATTAAAGCTCCAACGTGTATCGAGTGAAAACGAATTCGAATTGAAGTCGATAATGCTTCCACTGGGTATTTCAACTAGAGCGGATACTTCATTAGCGGCCGGCTCGGATTCCATTGGCTGCTCGACACTGGGCTTACGCTTGACGCATATCCGACAAGGTTTCGGTGTTATAATCGACTGCTGAGCAACATTTCGAATTGTGGCACGCCTGGCCTTGGGCCTAGAGCGAACCATGCGACTCTTAGTGGCACGTTTTCTAAGCGAAGCCTTTACTCCGCCCAGCTTTGTACTGGAACTCTAAGGGCAACAGCTCTAGATAGCTATAGCTATAGACATTGGGCCATGGTCAACACTCACCTCGACTGGCGTATTTGAGCTGCGCCACGGAATCGCACTGGTGCCGTCCTCAAACACAAGCGCCTGACGCAGCGCATAGTCCGAGTAGCCCGTGCGGACCAAAACCCCCAGATGGGTGAGACTGCACAGACTCTTCAGCACATACTCCTCGATATTGGGCATATTCTTGCTGCGACGCATCTGCAGCTCCACCTGTTTGATGATGCTCTGTGCCGGCACAAAGGCCGTCATCGAGTGTGTACCCTGCAGAACACCCAAGGCCTTCATCACATTCCGATTGATCCGCTTGGGCACATTAAAGTTATCCATTCGGTATATTTATGTATGAATATAGATAAAACAAATTTGCAAATTTATTTATATATCCGTATAGTCTGGTTGCTTCGTGTTTTTCGATGTTTACAGCTCGATGATTGTAGAATTTGTGTGCCCCAAGCGAGTTCGCTCGACGAGAATTCCGAGCGATAGGCAAAGGCTGCTGCGATCTTCAAGAGAACTTACAGGAAATTAAATGTATGATGGAATATAAGAAAGGAGCTGAACATAAGGCATATATCACATCATAAGCAACTTTGGAGAGCAATTGTCTTTATATACCAAACTCGAAAAACCTTCTATTCAGAAGGATTTCAAATGGAATTCGAATTTAAGATTTTAAGTAAATAAAACCTTGGAGTGGTATATGAAACTGTGTACAGGGTATGTCTGAGGATGCAGAAAGTGTTTCTAATTTATCGAAAATTATGTGTTCAAATCAGGAAAAATATTTTTAAAAAATTTTAAGATTTGTTTTCCAAAAAATCTAGAAAATTCATAATAAAATATATTGTATAGGATATTTAGTTTCTCTTGTAAAAGTTATATTGATATAATAATAAATGTAATTTAATAATAAAAGTAATGTAATAATAATAATCAGGATATATATATATGGAAGAAATATTTACAAAATTAAAATTAAAAAATTAAAAGTATTCAAGTATTAAGAAGTACGGAGAATCTTTCTATACTTTTTCGATAACTGTGTGGATTCTGTCGCTATAAACTCTTCATACTTTACGATACTTTTGCATAATAACATACATACATATATATTTCTATATATATATATATATATATATGATATAATTGTTAAATGTAGATATGACAGAAAACTAATATTAATATTTCACATATTTATGATAATAAACTAAAATATAAATTATAATAATTAAAAAAAATAAATATAATTTTTCTACATATAAAAAAAATATATATATACATATATATATATATATATATATATATATATATATATATATATATATATATCATATTTTTTATTTTTTATTATACAATATTTCTTGTAAGTTTGACTTTATTAAATGCATGTATATAAAAATGTACATATAATTTCTATCAGCTCTCAGTTTAATAACCCTTTCAGTATAACTGTACAAATACATATCTTCAATATCTCGTCAATCCTTTCTATTCCTGTTCATCTCATATGAATGCGTCCTTAGACAATTTCACTTAATGATGAAAAGTGCATCACAATTAAAATGAAAATCAACGAAAAGCGAAAACTTTCTATATATACATAAGTTTGTCAGGGATACACAGCGAGAGAGAGACTTACACACGTACACACACGCACACTCACACACACACACACACACACACCGACAGAACAGAACAATAACAGACTAACCTATTGTAAAGTGGGGAATACATAAATGCAAGCACACATATACAGAGGCTTCTGCATGTGTGTGTGTGTGTGAACATACAAATTTTACAGTTGTGTTGGCAACAATTTCCAAAATGGCGTCTCAGCGTGACTATCTTGCCAGTGCTTGCGCCCCAACCTGCCCCGTTACTCACATATGCAACCAAATACATGTTTACCCCGGGCCAAATGTCTGAGGTTCGCTTTTTTGTCTGCTGCACAACTGCAAAAAAAACGGAGCCAGAGTCAGAGCCAGAGCCAGAGCCAGTGGCATTGTAAGCGCAGAGCGGAGCAGGTCAATGATACCAAAAGTTAACCCATACCAGCAGCGTCTGCGTCGCACTTGAGCAATTTTCACAAAAAAGACAAAAAAAGAGAATAAAATACAAACAAAAACGAAAAACAACAACAAGCAGAACTGGCCGCACCCTTTGGGCAAAGCCACCCACACCCACACCCACAGCCACAGCCAGAACCAGAGCCAGAACCAACTCCACAATCAGCGCCAGTGTCAAGTTTACGCCATACACACACACACACACACACACACACACACACACACACACAGACACACATACATGCATACACAAGCAGATCTGGTCATGAACTCCATTCTCCATTTTCAATGGCAGCCATAGGAGTCACCGCAGAGCCGCAGCACAAAAGCTCTTTTATCTTTCGCATGTTTAATTTGTGCAGTGAAAAGCCTGTGAGAGCGAGAGAGAAGGAGCAGCACAAAGTGAAAGACAAAAAAAATACAAAAACAAAATATAAAAAAAAGGAATGAGCTAAAAACGAATGCAGCGACTAAGCAGCTAACTATCTAGCTGTCATGTCGCCTCCCACTTGTCCTGCCCACACCGTTCGCTGCGCCTCTAAATGCAGCGACGCCTTATGCATCATTTATTGTCCCCCCACCACTTCAACTCTTCTATCTATGTATTTATCTTTTTCCTGTGCAGCAGCAGAGAGCAGCAGCAGCAGCAGCAGCAGCAGCAACAACATCATGCCACGCCACAACTTGAACAACGCGGTGAAGGTCATTGCTACCAAAATTGTGTCTCCCTTTTGTCCTACTCTACTCTTGACTCAATTCGACTCGCATTCTCATTCGCAGCGCTGCAGACACGAGCAAAAAACACCAACACACAGCAAAGCACACCAACACACACGTGCTGGCTGTCTGTGTAACTGTGTGAATGTGTTTGTGCGCATTTCTGCATTTAATCGTTAGCAACGACTAAAACATTTGCACATCCGCACATGCAATGCGGAGCAGCAGCGTTGCCAGACTGTTCTGAATTGACTAGAAACTTCTAACAAACAACTCCAACGACATAGAACTGCGCAAAAACTGATTGCAGTGGCAACACTTGCCGCGTATATTACAACATCCAGCAGAGTCGGACTCAAAATAAAATGCAAAAAAAACTCGTTCGCTCTGTTCGACCCGTTCCGCTCCCGTGCCAAAAGCAAACTGTGTCTGTGTCACTCAACCCACTAAACTTGCACACAATGCGCCGACAACAACGACGATGACGACGACGACGCTAGCGTTGGCGATGACGACGAAGTCGAACTCGAACTGTGCTGGCGCATTCGTGTGTAGCCGGGCTGCGTCGCGACGCGTCGCTGCCTGCTCCTGCTCCATGTGCTTGCTGTTGTTGTTTTTGTTGTTACTGCTGTTCAATTGCATGAGCCTCTCTGCCCTGCTCTTTGTCGCTGTTTGTTGTTGACTCTATGCGCTCTTTTTCTTCGCTGCCTTTGCCGTTGTTGGCGTTGCTTTGTGCTGGGTTCAATGTCTGGTGGTTGACCTACCCGTACCAGATTTTTCTCCAGGACGTTTTTCGTTGCTGCCGCTGCGCTGCTGCATTTTGCGCATTTGCTGCTTGTTGACTCATTTCCCCCACTCGCCAAACAAACACGACAAGTGAAAACTAAAAAAAATGGAAAATTTGTGCAATGTTGTCGTCTGTCGCCTGCAAAGTAAAAGTTGTGCAACTGAGTTAGTTCGAGCTGCTCGAGGGGGCTGCTTAAGTTGTGTGACAGCTGAAATTACACAACTTTGTTGTAATTGCTGCTGCTGTTGTGGTTGCTGTTGTTGGCAACTGTTTGGCCAGACAATTGCTCATAAACATTTATGGTTGCTAGTTGATTGGCTTATCTATGCGTCAGCCCGACTGCAATGATGCATCAAGCGCGCTTCCCTTGACTGTGGGCATGGCACAAGCAGAAGATATTATACATGCCACACACACATACACATATGTATGTTTGTTTATGCAGCAAGCTTTGCATTCGATGCTTGCTAACTGGTTTTCCACTTGTAATTTCACTCGCTTGGCCAGTTTTCCACAAATGTTGCCTCCACCTGGTTGGTGGCAAGAAAAGCCAACAAACCGCGCTGGAAACTATTAGAAGATTCAAGGCTAAGGCTGCATGTCTAAGGCTAAGGTCATTGCCATGCAACAACGCTGCAAAAAATATACCCTGTAAAATTTTGTTAAGCGGGGTGTATAAATTCTATGTGAATATTTATGTGTGTGCATGAATAAAAATGTCTTCTATATTAATTTGTTGGTTTTTTAAGCTTTGTGTCTAGAAATTTTTAAATATTATTTTTATAGAAATATAATTTTAGATATATTATGTATCAAACTCTGTTTCAATTAACTGCAAAAAAAAATTAAATATATTTTCTATGTCTAAAATTATATTTTTATAATTTTTGTAAAATATCATAAATTACTAATAAAAATAAATTACAGGGTATTTGAACGTTTATAACACTATTAAGATTCTTTCTCTTCCATTGAAGAATTACTCAACATTTGAATATGCATAAAATAACACAGGGTATTTTGGCGTCGATCATGCTCTAGTGATGTTGCAACATTCTTAGTTCTATCGATGCATTTTCTGCATTTGAATGCCGCTGATGGAAAAACTAGTTTTTCACCTTTCAAGTGAAGAACAAAAGCCAGTTGTTATTATTTTCTTCAAAGGCAAACTGCAGAGCTAAAGACTGGCCAAGCAAGTTCCGAGTTCCGAGTGCTTACCTGTTCTATTGGTGAAAGTTACCTGTGTGTCGTAAGCATTTTCATGGGAGAAAGTTCTTGGTGAAGGAGGAAAGTCTTGTAATCGTTGCAATTGTCATGAGAATTTGCCAACTGGAACTAGGTAAGGTGACTCACACAGCTCACTTGCCACTTGCCACTTGCCACTTACCACATATGCAACCCCCGTTTCAGCTACAACTATTTGCTGACTGTTGCAACTTGCAACTGCAGTGTGGCAGGCGCATGACAAATTACCCCTGAGACCTCACTAAAAGCATATCGTGCAGCTTACTTTGTTATTGTGCTTAGCTTGACACATAACAGGTAAGTTCCAGGTGCTACGATCCAGAGCTGCCGGAACACCGTGTACAAAATATGGACAAGAGGAAGAGTTGAGCTGTCATTCTGGAAAACTGTGGACAACATATAATTATAACAGTAAATGTGTACATACGGAGGGAGAGAGACAGAGCAGAAGAGAGAAAGAAACAAAAGATTTGATTCTTTGGATAATGCTATATATCTCAATCTGTATTTATATCTATATCTATATCTATATCTATATCTATATCTATATCTATATCTATATCTATATCTATATATCTATATCTATATCTATATCTATATCTATATCTATATCTATATCTATATCTATATCTAT